GTCAGGACAGAAAGAGCAAGAAGGTGCAGGTCTTCAGAGCTGTACTCTACTAGCATGCAGTGCTAGCTTGTGTGCAAGAGAACAAATGTTCCTAAAAGTCCAGGTCTTCTTTAGTATGTATCCCCCCCACCTTTTTTAGTCGATAGTGGACCATTTTGATTGCTTTTGCAGTAACCTCAGCAGGTGATTCTTAATGGTGCCTTGTCTCTTCTATCAAGGAAGGGCATAATCAAATTGCACAGATGGCAAAATCTTAGCGCCACTGAAGTGAAGAAGAGCCTTTTATTGATTTTAGCAAGGTGGAGGGGGAGCTCCCCCAACAACCCCTTTCCTCTCTCTCTCTCTCTCTCTCTCTCTCTCTCTCCAGTTCAGTGTGATCACATCTCCTTACAAGATGTATATCTTTTCAGCTGCTGTTTGACTGGCTTATCATATTAGTAGGCAGAGATTTTAATCTGGGTTTCTCATAGATAAACCCAACACTCCAGCCACTTCATCATTCTGGCTCTCCACTGAGTGTCTTTAACCGCTAACATTTTAAGAAACAGGGTGGGAAAGACCTGTCTGGATTATTACCTATGTGGTTATAGTGTTTACACATTTCCCACTGATATGGGGTGATGATAATAACAAGGGGAAACACCTCATAGATCTCTCTCTCTTTAGCAAGGACCATTGCTCTGTGGTGCCTCCCAGGTTCAATCCCCAGCATCTCCAGGTAGGGCAGGGGGAAAACCTCCTATCTGAAACCATGGGTTCTCCTATCTGGGAGAACCATGACCAGTCAATGTAGCCAGTACTGAGCTAGGTGGACCAATAGTCTGACTAGGTATAAGACATTCTCTCTCTCTCTCTGCCCCCCCACCCCCTGCCTTGGAAGAGGTTTTTTTTGCACAAATGCAAAAGGTCTTGTGTGATTTAGCTAGGATAATTCTTAGTATTTGATCTCCATCCATAATATTTTTCCCCCTAGCATTTCTAGCCCACCTTTCCTCCAAAGAGCTCAAAGAGGTGTACATGTTCCCCTCTCCCCATCCTCACAATAACCTTGTAAGGTAGGTCAGGCTGAGAGATGGTGACTGGCCTGAGGTCACCCCACATGATGACCGAGAGGGTATTTGAATCATTTGAACCATGGTCTCTCAGAACATACCTTTTTTATTCTCAGCATTGCTAAGGCAGCTTACATTACAACTGGAGGATGAAGACCTCTGAAGGAGATGCACACTGATGCCAGCATGTGCTAAGTGGCCAGCATGCCCTCAAAGCATGTTTCACTCCCCAACCCAGCCATGCTGCCTATCCTGAACATGGTGACTGCCCCTTTAAGCAGCAACTTCAAAAGCATCTGCTGCTCTGTGCTTATGTCCTAATCAGCTTATTGGCTTGGATCAAGTGTGGATGATTGTGTGTGTGTGTTGTGGGGGGAGTGGAGGTGAGGGATTCCAAGAGAAAGGGCAGCTAGCAGTGATGTCAGCAAACACAGAGCATTAGAGTCAGGATGGGGTTTTCTCAAAGGAAGGAGAGAGAGAGAGTGACATTAACAAGGAGCTACAGCAGCTTAATGATTGGAGAGGCCCCTCCAAAAGTTTTAGACTACAACTTCTAATGGGAGCTGTAGTCCAAAATAGCTGGAGGGCACCAGGTTAGCAAAGGCTGTTCTGAAGACTTTGGTGCTGGCAATAAAATATGCTCAAAGCATCCTTTTTCCACGCAGCTGTAGAGCAGCAGCCGAAGAAGCATATTTCAAATTAGTGTGTCCCCCCTCCCTGCGATGCATTGCAGATTCCTTTCAGATGATGTGCTAATGGTCTGATGTCCCTGTCTACCAAGTGACAGGAGGCATTTATCGTAAAGCCACCAAATGGCTTTGGCCCCATTATGCCAATTGCCCTCTGTCAACGGATAATTGGAAAGAAATGCAGAGTGTATCACCCCCAGATATAGAAAGCAACCTGGGCACAGCAGGTGTGCATTGCTGGAGCCTCTGAGAAGCAGGCAGCGCATCACTAGGGTGATGTACAGCAAGTGTCAAGGGCAAGAGCAGCAGGCAAGCTTCAAGCACATCGTGGGCTGGGTGAGAAGGGAAGGCAGTTTGTTGAAAGGGATGCCACGTACCAGGCAAAAGTCATTGTAAGTCAGGAAGGGGGTGAGCTCCTCTCTAGGGGATTTCTGCTAGTTTGCTTTCCAGTGGCTAAAAGACAAAAGGTGCAATCTAGAGGAAGTCAGTTGTGCCTAAGCACTGATTCATATGTGAAATTATCCTCCGCCCCCCACATGTCATATTTCACAGAAGTGGCTTATGCCTTTTGTCAATGTAATGTACAAAGAGAGAATGCACACAGTCTAGCTGCAGCAGCACTCCCCCACCAACCTCAGTCTGCCTTCAGTCCATGGGCGTAGGCAAGGGGGGCAGGGAGGGGCAGATGTCCCCCAATAAATAAAAATCAATATAAATACATAGCTAACTGAGGTTAAGACCCCCTAAAACAAATGGCCTGTCCCCCCCCCACAAAAATCCTGGCTACACCCAGGCTTTTGTCAGTCCCAACCTGCCTGCCTTCTTACTTGCAACTAGCTCTGGGGCTGAGGCTGCCTGTCAGCTTCCTCCTCCTGGTCTCAGTGTTGCCTTTGTACAACTCAGTAGGGAGTATTGCTCTTCCCATCAGTTGTCCCCAGAACCATACTGCCTCTGTATCTGGAGGTTCTGTTTTCTTTCCAGTGTTTAATGGCCATTGGTGCAAAGTGATGGCAGCATGGTTTAATGCCAGGAACGTGGCAGGTGGGGAAAAATGGGTCTGAAAATGCATTGGATTCCTAGAATCCTTATTGGATTCAAATAGGCAGATGGGATTTTTCCCCCTGGAACAGAGTTCATATAAGAACCCTGCTAGATCAGGCCAAAGGGTTAATCTAGTCCAGGGGTGGCCAACTCCCAAGAGACTGTGATCTACTCACAGAGTTAAAAACTGGCAGTGATCTACCCCCTTTTTGGGGGTTCAGGTCAAAGCTGTTGAGCTTTTTTTAGAGAGGAGGAAAGGAAAGCCCACTTTTTTTTTTTTAGGGGAGGCAAAGTTTTTGAGCTTCTTTGGGGGGAGCCAGTGATCTACCACTGACGTCCAGTGGTCTAGTGGTAGATCACAATCTACCTGTTGGACGTGCCTGATCTAGTCCAACATTCCCTTCTCATGTTGTCTAGCCAGATGCATATGAGAAAGAAGGCTGAGTCCAGCTGGACTCTTCCTACTTTAGATTCCCTGCAACTGGTATTCCTTAGGTATTGCAGTAGAACTTAGGCATTGCAGCTAGTTGCTAGGTTTCTTCTAAAAGTAAGAGTATGATAGCGAAACAAGGATCTTGTTCCTGCCAGATAGTCTTCTTCCGTAATAATAAGAGTGAAGTGTTTGTGTGTGTGTATGGGAGGGGGATGTTTTACATTTTGAAGAGGAAGGAATGGTGCTTAACAGATAACCTGCTCCCCAGTTGCTAAGCAACATAGCTCGTCTCTTACCTGCAAGAAATGTACTCAGGGAAAGTAGAATGAATACATGGTGTTCCTCTTCAGCTGGGAGGTGCTGACTTTATCTTGCTGGGGGCTGGATTTCAGCAGTGATACAGACAAAGCACACACACACACACACCCCGGTGGTTTCCAGCAACTGGTATTCAGAAGCATGGAGGCAGAGCATACACATCATAGTTAGGAGTTGCTGATAGCCTTCTCCTCCATGAATTTAGCTTACTGGTTTGGCAAGCTAGATCTCATTGGGCAAACTAGATCTTGAGGTGCAGGGATGGGGGAGACATTTTTGATTGACTGGGACAAATCACACGCCTCATTCCATTCAACAGGATGCTTCACAACCTGCCTGCACAGCCTTCCTCTGCTTTTTGGGCTCAATTCCCAGAGGAGAGGGACAAATCCAAGAGCCACCAGTCTGTCTTGAACAAAGAGTCTGCCTGGGCAGCCAAGTGGCATATTGATTTTGGAGAACCAGCAAAGGATACCTGACTGAGCTAGCCACCGCTACACCTGTTACCAGGTAACTGCTGGCTAGACAGGCAGTAATGAATGGAGACTGACAACGTTAGCTGTTTTGGTGAAGTCATGGCCCCAGGTGTTACTCAAATGGTCTCCATGGTACCCATCAGGCCTTGGGCAGGATTACTTGTAAATCAGCAATTTGGAAAGTGACTGCAATTAGAGGGACAATGTGTCTCTGCTCTCCCCACTCCTGCCCAATCTGCCTTTGCCTCCCCTGAAGCATAATCCCTAGCTCTCAGAGGTTCTTGGCTCAAAGCCACATAGAGTTGAAGCATCTGGCAATAGCCATTTAACAAAGGCACACAAGGAGAATTGACGTCAGCACTGGGAAATCCAGGGAGGGGCTCTGTGCCAGGATCCGGGCAATGAAAGTGTGTGTGTGTGTGTGTGTGTGTGTGTGTGTGTGTGCTCGCGCGCATGTGTAGGGTGTGTTGCACAGTGACAGCTGCTGTGGGTGGAGCCGTGAAGAGCACAACATTTCAAAAGGCAAGGCCACTTAGGAAAGTGGCCACATTGCTTCTCTCTCTCATTTATTTGCCAATCATGAGAAGTATTTTCTAAGAATAGCTTTTTTGGAAACATGGAAGTTTAACACACAATGTAATATCTGCCTGAAATTATTCTGAATTAGTTCTTTGGTCAACTTAAGTTTTTTACTGGGTGATGAATTAGTCTCCCCTGAGGTCAGCAACAGTGGATTACAGCTGTGTACACAGCTGTGTATCCCTTTGAAACACCTTTGGAGGGCATTCTTTCCTGCAAAGAATTCTGGGCACTGTAGTTCTATTGAGGGCTGCTGGGAATTGTAATTCTGTGAGGGATAAACTACAGTTCCCAGAACCGTTTGACAGAAAGAGTGTGTTTTGAATGTGCTTTAAAGATATCTTGTGTATGGAGCGTATGGAGCGGTCCATAGGTTTAATGAGTTGGTTGATGGACCACCAGCCTCCCAGGTGATTCATGGCACAATGGGTCAATGTGCCTGGCTGTTAACCAGAAGGTTGGTGGTTCAAGCTCACCCAGGGACAGTTGTGGGCAGGATTCCTGCATTGCTGGGGCTTGAACTATATGACCCGTGGGGTCCCTTCCAACTCTAGAATTCTGTGACTCTATGTTGCTGGAAAAAGGAAGAAAGCTGAAGCCAAGTGTGGAGACGTAAATAGAGGTGTGGGTATAGGATGAGATGGGCGGTCAGCCCCTGCAGAAATATAACAGGATCTCCGTGAGAATGATGAGATTCAAAAGTGGGGCAGTATAAGTGAGGTGACTCTTTAGATATGTGGAGAGAAAAGGAAATTGTGCTATGGGGAGGAAGCCATCATGTTTAAGAGCACTCCTATAACTTCATGGGACCCTGTGCGGACAAGTAATATAATAAAACACATCAGAAGTCCCATTGTTTGCCTATATTGCACACTCCACAGCAAGACCCTTTCTGTATCTGTAATGCTGGGGGTAGTGGGACACCTTATGGTAAGATCTTGTATTACATTCCAGCTCAGAGGACACTGCAACATTTTTCAGTCCAAAATTTTTTCTCCACTTATTGCAAAAATGAAAGCTTACATTGTTGGATTAAAAAAACAAACAAACATTATTTCTTCCTGACATATTACAACCCACCCCCAAATTTATCAGAATGTTATCTTTCATAGATAACTGCCACAGATGACATTATAATTCCAAAAAAATGAAAATGTGAAGCATAAAGCTGTGGAAGTTAAGAAAACTTAGACTAGATTTGCCACTTGCTGGAAATTCTAAAAGTTTTGCAAGACTGAAACTTGATTTTACGTCATTGTCTTTTGACTATAAAGCATTCCAGATATCCCATTGCAGGGGTGTGGAACCTTTCTCAGCTAGAAGGATGCATTCCTTTCTGGGCAATTTGGGTGTATATGTGTCATCTGCTTGGGGGCGGGGCGGAAGGAGGAGCAATTAATGTAAATTTTACCTTTGCATACTAGACTTGTTCCTGCACACACCCCTCTCTTTTCTCCATCCAAGCAAGCAAGCAAGCAAGAGGCATTGTCAAAGCAAAGGCACATTCCAGCCAGGCAGAAACAAACATAGAGGGTGCAAACCAAGGCTGGTGAAGGGTGTGGCCTGGAAAGAAAGTGTGGTGGAGGAGTTGTGGCCTGGGCAAAGTAGTTCGCATTTGGCCTGCAGGACTAAGATTCCTGTCCCAATATGACTCTTAGTACTTGCAAAGCATGAGAAATTCCTCCTCCAAAACCTTGCACTGGCTACAAATAATGAGACGTTTCATTGGTAACGTCTGAACAACATCATCACATGTATTTTGCTCTTTCTTCAAGGAGCCCTGTCAACATGTTCATTGTGAATTGATCCCAATTAGTTTGCACTGCAGGGAGAGTAGATGATGTTGGCTACTTAACAAGCGTTCATCCTGATTTGTTTGTAGGAGAGATTAGATGATGTTTGTATTAAAGCAAGTGTTATTCCACACTTTCAAGTGCCTTTTCCCCATCACTTTTCTTACTGCAAAATGTCCAATCTTTTTGGCAAGAGGGTGTGTTGTGCAATACCCCTCAATTCAGGGGTGTACTTACCTAAGGGTAGGTCAGGTTGGCCCTCGCCAAAGTGACAGGTCCAGTGTTTGCAAAATTGGGACTCTCCACTCTGGCCTGAAGTGGCTATGAGCCCACCTGCCTATCCACAGACTCCTTGGGCTCCTCCTCCACTGCTCTGGGCAGCCAGGTGAGGCACACTGCCTTCTCTGTGTGACTTGGCAGAGGAATCCTGTCATTGGCATGGGCTGTCACAAGGGATTGGGGAGGGGACAGACACACCAATACATCTCCTTGACAAGGGCGCAAGGGAGCCTATGTACATCTCTGCCCCAATCAACTGTAATGACAAAACCTTAATTTTCCAGTATGTAACAGAATAGTGATGATCAGAAGTGCCCTTGTTTTATTAATTTATCATGTTTGGAGTGGGTCACTCCCACTCTGATTGGATCTTTTATACTTGTTTTCATTTTTGCCCTAAGAAGTACTGTGATCCACCTCTTTTTTGCTTTGCCGGAACTTCTCCCACTTCTGTCTGCATCCATGTATCTGCCAAGAGAGGATAGCACTTCATCTGATTAAATGCCACAGGACTCATGTTTGGTTTTACTTCAAGGGTGCCTGCAAACTGTCACTGTGTTGTAGGATGGATTCAAGCACAATTTGGGTTTGCACACCTAAAGCGGATTAAGTTGCCCTGTTGTCCTAGTGCAATAAATCTACTTAAAGACAAACAAGCCTTTTGTGGATAGGAAAGTGTGGAATGATCAGGATGAATGCTCAATAAACAGGTTGTCTGGAGGAGCCCCAGTAGACTAAAATAGCTGCTACCTGGAAGTGGTTCACAGTTCAACAGTATTCTCAAATATGCAATGGGGCAGCTTATTTGTGTTTCACCACTGCCCCCTGCTGGACATAACCAGAGCACTTTCTTTCACAGAAATAGCAAGCAAGTTTGAGCCGAACTAGGTGTTGCCTTATAAACACAGGCTGCAAAGCCTAAACAGGCTTTAAGGAAGAAGAGGCAGAAAAGCAGTTTTTAGGAGGCAGAGTTAAGAAGCGGAGAAAGTAGCACAGCTTCCATCTCCTGCACTATATCTTAGTGCAGCTGAGACATGTGAGAATTTGTAAGTGGTATAGATTGCAAGCTAAATCCCCCACCCCAGACCTCTGTGTTCTCTCCTGAAGGCTTCTAGGAGGCTGCAGATAGCTGCCTGAGCAGGCCAGTGTCTCCCTCCCTCCCTGTGTCACACTCACACAAACAAACACTGCAGGGCAGGCATGGGGAACCTTCTGCAGCCTGTGGTCTTCATTCCCTTCCGCACAAGCTTCCAGGGGCCACATGCCTGGTGTGAGGGAGACAGAGACACTTTCAGTAGCACTATTACGGACCAGGTTGTGTTTGCTTAGGGGAAGCACTTTCAAAAGGTGGTGGTGGAGGAGGAGTTTGGTTTTGATATCCCGCCTTTCACTCCCCTTAAGGAGTCTCAAAGCGGCTAACATTCTCCTTTCTCTTCGTCCCCCACAACAAACACTCTGTGAGGTGAGTGGGGCTGAGAGACTTCAGAGAAGTGTGACTAGCCCAAGGTCACCCAGCAGCTGCATGTGGAGGAGTGGGGACGCGAACCCGGTTCACCAGATTACGAGTCCACCACTCCTAACCATACACCACACTGGTGAAAGCAGGTGTGTGCTTCTAAGGCCATAATAAGGGCTGGACATTGTCAGGTGCCTGCCAAAGTCTACACCCCTGCAGAGGGGACTCATTGTTGATTCCTAGAGTCTCCTCCTTTTTGCTGTCACTGCCTGTTTGTCTACCATCTCTAAGTATGCAGGAAGTGCCTGGAGGGAAAAGATGGGTCATCCTCCTCCACTCAACTTGTGCTTTCCCTCTGGGTGATGAGCTGTAGACCCATAGAGAGAGAATGAACAAATGACCATTGGCAATGTGAGTGAGAGAGAGGAGAATTGAGAAAGGTGGTGTATTGTGAGCATCCACCCCCACCCCCCAAAATCTGAGGTTGGTACTAGGTTCCTGTCATGTTTCCAGCTAGGTAAGAGGTTCCTTTAGACCAGGAGTGGGCAACCTGTGGCCTTTCAGTTGTTGCTGAACCTCAAGTCTTATTGGCCCCAGCCAGCATGGCCAATAGCCAGGGATGGTGGGAGAAGTTCTATTCCTACAACATCTGGAGGGCTGTAGGTTCCCTACCCCTGCTCTAGGCTTCTGGGTGTACATAGCTCCCCCTGGATGAATGAAATAGCTTGCATTTCTATTGTGCATTTCTCCTGGGATTTTCAAAGAGGGTTTACATTTCCCCTACCATATATAAGCAAAGCCTCGAGGCTGGAACAGGATCCCATCAAGTTGCCTCTTGTGCAGGGCACGATGTGTTCTTTTCTGCCCCTGTGCTTCATTTTCGGTGGAACTTTTCCTTAGGAGCACCCGTATGTCTTGTGTCTTCTTCTCATTTTTTATAATCAAGAACCCCCAAAAAGGAACCAGAACAAGTGCTATTCCTTTTCCCCCTCTTTTTGCATTTTACCATGAATATATTTAAGAGTAGGTCTTTGAACATTATCACACACACAAACACAGAAACCTGAAATGATGTCCATTAACCTGAGAATGGGACAAAAGGGGATGAAATCATGAAAGCAAAGGGAGGGGCAGAAGCAGTCTGTTTTCCAGGACAATTGCTATTTTCTTGACTTTAGCTACCATCTCAGTTTTTCCGGCAGGTTTTCTGGTGTCCGTCATATCCTTCTTGTACACTGCTTAGAAATTATGCAATTAAATGGTATATAACTTATTGAAATAAAGAATCTCTGTATGCCATTTGAAGTGCATTTCCATGCTGAACAGGAGCCATCAATATGACTTTTAGGGTTCAGAGGTCAAAATGCCAATAACACATGAGGTTCATGTCACTATTTGAGCCTCTGGTGGATTTCTCTTCCACATGGAAACAGAGGAAAGGCATTTGTAAATGCAAATGAACATTCTGGCCAATGTAGCTTTAACTTTTTAAAGCACAAGCCTCTTTAAGTTTCATGTGTGCCCTGTTGATAATGGTAACCATTTAGTGTCTCTCTTGGGTAGTTTGGGTACGAGATTGTGTGAGACGACACAGCTGTACTGATAAATTTATTTATTAAATTTGTATACCGCTCTGAGATCTGCAGGTATAGGGTGGTATACAAATGTAATAAATAAAAATATGTGTTTGGCCACAGCTCCCACCCGCAAACTCTACAGTGTGTTCAAAGCAACAGATCCTGATGTTATACATGTTAGTTCCCTATTTTAACTGCTGGTTCTAAGTATGTTTTAAGTATTGTTTTTAACTAGTTTATATTACTTGTATTATATAATGATGTTCTTAGATGTTGGAAGTGACCTTGAATCCCAACTTGGGAGAAAGGTGGGATATAAATACATTTAATAATGATGATGATGATAATAATGATATTGATAGTTACTTAGAGTGGGCAAAGAATGAATTTCATTGAATATTTCATTTCCATTATATTGCCTCACTATTTTTTAAAAATGAAACTTTATACATTGACAACTTTTACCACACTTGTATTTTGGTGCTGCCTACATGGAAGCAGCAACTCTTGTGTGTGTGTTCAGCATTAAAGGATTTGGTTTGGGGGCAAAGAGGAAGCCCAGCTGGGCTGAGAATTAGGCTGGGGCTCATAGAGGGGTGTTTGATGCCTAGACTAGTTTGTGAGATCAGAGACCTCAGGCTGAAATTCTTGGAGCTTGGGGAACACCATGCCACATCTTTTCAAATATTTGTGTCCTCCTGCTTTAATATTAATTCCTGTGGGTTAAGGAAGTATCTGCAGAACTGCATTTTGAATAGGGATGAGCCAAAACTTGGTTTTGTCAGCACTTCGGGTAATAGCAAAAGAATAAGAAAAGAAAAGAAATCCCTCCCCCTTTGTGAAAATGTCCATTCGTCTATTTCAACTGCCCTCAGTTGGCATCATCAGCCAGCTAAATCTGATGACAGCTATGTAATGTATTCCTGTTCAGTACAGGATTCCTGATAGGATGAGATTCCTGTCCATGTATCTAATCCAGGGAAGATGAAGACACTGAAGCTAAGGGAGTGGACTTCGTGTCCAGCAGGATTTTAAAAGGAGGAGGAGCATTTCCCCACCTCACAAGGATGCCTAACTTTGACCTAAAAGTCTATCTCACCTCCATCATCAACCTCAGCTGAGCTGAGCCCATGCTGGTCCTTACACCTGTCCATGACCAGACTTCAAAACATACAAAAGCGTTCTGAAGCCATTTCAATATAGTGGGAGAGGGGTTTGAAAAGAAGAAAGAGAGAAATTGGGGGCATTGCTGAAATGTTCTCTACAAAATGAAGGGCCCTGTATTCAATGGGGAGGGAGCTCACCCCCCACAAAATGCCCCCTAGATCATCCAACGCCTTTGCTGAGATCCAGCCCATCTTAAGATGTCATCTCAGTACAGTGTCCCCCCCGCTGCACACAGTTGCCTCCTTGGTCAAAATGGGAAGTGTCTTAGGATGAAATCTGAGGGCTGTCCCTTCTCTCCCCATCCCTCCCCCTTGCCCTGCAGTGGTGAGAGGCCTAGTGGTAGTGGCTGTTCATGTTGTTGATATGGGAGGTTGCCATGGCACTGAAAGGCGCTGAAGGCTGCAAGCTGTGGCTGGGGTACAGAGTGGGGGTAGAGCCTGGCCAATAGGAGAAGCTGGTTGGAGTCACCCCCGAGGCCATGATGTTGAGTTTGGAAATGCCAGAGAAGGGCAGGGGTGCCTGGAATTTGTAGAGGGTATGGTCGGGTGTTGCTGGCTGGCAGACTTGGGCCAGGCCCTGGAAGTCAAACTTGTAGGCGTAGCGTTTGCCGTGGACCTTGGTCATGATGTTCTTGTCATAGTAGTAGCGCAGGGCCCGGCTCAGCTTGTCATAGTTCATGTTGGGCTTGCTCTTGCGCTCCCCCCAGCGCCGGGCCACCTCGTCGGGATCCAGGAGTTTGAACTCTCCATTGGTGCCCTCCCAGGCGATGCAGTTGAGATTGGCACGATCAGAAAGCAGCTCCAGCAGAAATTGCCACAACTGGATCTGCCCACTGCCTGAAAAGCCAAAAGAGGGGCAGTGAGAAAGGCCCATCTTGAAGGAGCAGACCTGCCACCCTCACATAAACATAGGAAGCTGCCTTTATGCTGACCCACACATTCTTGTAGCCCAGGATTGCTGCTACAGGAGTTGTTAGAATAAAGCTTCCATGATATTTGACTCTTGGCCATGGGGAGGTGGACTGGGGCTGATTAGAAACTGGAGTCCAGCCGCATCAGGAGGGCATTATGTTTGGCTTCCCAGGCCACTTCTGAGGGCCAGACTAAATGTTATGCTAAACACAAATGCTGAAGACACCAACTAGCCACTAGATCCATCTATACCTGGACAGTCTAAATAAGTAAACAGTGATAATGTTTTTTCTTAGCTGCCCTTCACCAGAACGCTCAGGGCAGATTAAAACAGTCATATTAAAACAGTCAAAACTAAACAACACCCCCAGTAAAACTCAACATCAATAATCCTTCCAGTTAAAAGACACCAACATCAAAACTGCGGATTTCAAGGGCCAGGGTAAAGAGATGTGTCTTCAGTGGTCAATGGAAGCTGTAGAGAAGTGGTGTCAGATGCATCTCTTGGGGCCATCACCAAAAAGGCTCTGTCACGAGCTCAACCCACTCACAACTACTGAGAGCAACAAAACCACCAGAAGGCCCTCCTGCTGCTGCTGTACAGGGAAGATGTTGTTTCAGATATTTGGGGCCCAAGTCTAACATAACTTGAAACACTTTCCCAAAAGATTTCTATCCCCAATGGCCTGGAAAGCAACTTCCAGATTAAAACACAAGTAAAGGCAACAACAAAAGGAAATACAAGCAACAAAAGAGTTGGGGGAACCTTCAGAACAGGCTTAGGGGGAGGCATGAAGGGAGGGGGAAGAGAATAGGGGAAGGGAGGGCAAACCTCGTTCTGCTCCTGCATACCCAGCTTAATGCTATGTTGAAATCCACCCACTGACTGCTGTGTTCCTTTCGCTGTAAATCCTTGCCATCCTTCCTTATCATTTGGACATTTAAAGGTAAACAAAAGGTACATCAGACTCCTGGCTGAGCCAAAATATGAAGCGTCAACTCTTTTCCTATTTCCCCCCTACCCATAATTACTAACCAATAAGTTTCTATGACCTAAGGCTCCCATTAGAAGAGCTCAAAATATATTGTTGCATGCCACCCCAATCTCAAAGAGGTGCAAGATTTCAGGGGTTCCAGGAACTTACCCAGGGTCCCGTTTCCTTGGAATGAGGGACAGTGGAGACTGTGGTATCCTTATTTACACATATACACAACCAGAGCTCAAGATGAAGGGGCTTACAGCATTAACACTCCAAGTGGTCTTGCTTCTTTCATAGACGCAGTCTTGGAATCAAGCATGGCTCTCACTTCCTTGCTTCTGCCTGCAGCCTGCTTCTAGCCCAGCTCCCTCACACAACTATGGATATTGTCCTCCCCAGCAGCCAGGTAAAAGAGGGGGCTCACCCATTTACCCTCTGGCACAGAACAGCTTTCTTTGTCAGACTAAGGACCATACTTAGGTGATAACTATGGCCCTTGCCTGGCTACTGGTAATTCAGCAATAGAATCCTCCATTAGATTTTAACCCTTGCTGGATCCAGGAATTTGAAGGGACTTAGGCATTATATAGCCTAACCCCTTCCCCCAAACTCACAACAATATTTTAATCCCTTTCCCATAACCACTGTCCCACCCTCAAATATATAATAATACTCTTATTCCTCTGTGTCTGTTAAGAAAGCCAAATAGCTCACACTGTTGACTGCTTTGAACTCTTCAGAGCTGAATCCTTTGCATTTTCCCAGTCACTCCAAAACCTTCCTCATTAAAAAAAAATAATGTATCCATATTCTCTTTCTTCTCTATATACCTTCACTAGGAAGTGAATCCATTCTATATGAGATGCAGTGCTTTTAGGTGGGTGTATATTGCAGAATCATTACCTCTATGTGTGCAGGTTTTCACAGCATCCACATGACATCATTGGCATAAAAACACCAGTTCGTATTTCCCCCTATTTAATCTGGATTGGAAAATCTGATGTTTTAAAACAGCCCACCTCCGCGCCCCATTTACCGTATCTGAATGAGCTGTTTGCAATATTAAGCCCCCATCCAGAAGCACCCTAGGATTTAATACCCCAAGTAAGTTTGCAGTGAAGATCACATCCTTACACTCATTTGACTGTTGTGACCAATTAGATACAAACAAAGCGCTATAGAGTATTATGGTTTACACAGCTTGGCACACCTATTGTACTGCTTCCTGCTAAATATTTTTGCTTTGTTTTTTAAGCAAAAATTGTATAAAAAATATACAACTGATACATTTATTTATTACAGGTAAACCTGAGAAGCTGCTTTGTCTGAATCAATTTGAAGGAATGGAGGTCAGAAAATGAAAAACAAAACCAGTGCTCTCTGTGTTTCTAGATAGTCAGATAGGTCACATTACAATATGCATAGTGAACACAGACATATTTCATATAACTAATTAAATAAATAAAATATCTGAATCAACCTTCTGTATGTGTACAATTATGGACTCTCACACTACTAATGATATAATTTTTAACTTTACTTCTTCCAAGACAAGAAGAGCTGATTCACACAGCCATATGTGTCAGCTTAAACATTGACAAGTGACTGGTTTGAGTGCTATTATAAAGTGACATAAAATATTGTTCAGCATTTGACCAGTGCTAGCAGTTCCGCACATGCATGTCCTCTATTGATGTTGCTGTCCTGAACAAATGGTTCTGAAATAACTTCTGATCTTAATCATTGGAAACTAACTTTCCTTTTGGTGGTAGACTGGGTAATGGTAGAATAAATGGTACCCATTTCAGATGCCAGGTAGGAAAATCACATTTCTTAATCTTTCCCTGTGTACCCCCCCCCCAAAGAAACCCACCACACTCTTTTGCAAGTAGAAAACTAGAACAACAGAGAGGTGGCTGGGCTGAAACCTTTCTTCCTGAGCTGCTAGCTTTCTACTTTCAAAGGGCTTTTTTTGTTTTCCTTAGGGGAATATTTTAAAAAATGACTTTCCTCATCTACCCACAAAATCTTCATTCTGCTGCATGTGTAGGCCAGGCTACAGATAAAAGATGAAACATTTCCAGAGGGGTAACCCTGTTAATATGTGGCAGTAAAATCGACAAAGGGTCTTATAGCCTCTGGAAGACTGAGTGTGATATCCAAGGTTAGTGATACTCAGAGCAGACTAAGTGGGATCAAGGGGCCACTGGAGTCCATTGATTTCAGTGTGGCTGCTGGAGGATCACTAAGGCTGGCTATCATCCTAACGCAAGCACAAGCATTCATTGACCACATCCCACTTCATCAGATGCTGAGTGGATTTTAGCCCAAGAAAATATATGGCATAATAAAACCTGCTAATCTTTAAGGTGCCATAAGGAAAAGCGTTGACAGTTTTAACCTGTATTTCGTACTTGCTGCTGAGGAAACCAGTCGCCCAATACAAAAAGTAACTTAAGCAACAAAGATTTGGGGGGGGGGGCACAGCTGAATCAGAGGGGCTAGGGAACCGGTCCTCCAGGTGTTGTTGCATTCCATCTGGAGGCCAATGGTCAGAGAAAAGGCCAGCAAGGCCAATGGTCAGAGAAAAGGGGAAGTGTAGTCCATGCAACATCTGGAAGGCTATAGCACATTTGAAGTCAGATAAATGAAACCCGGAAGAGGAAAGAGCTTTTGTCCAAGCGCTAACCCTCCTCTTCACAATTCTGAGTTCCAGGTGCGGAAAAGCGTGATCCATTCATTTTGGGCTTTTAGGAGAGGGCGACCACGTACCAGCCTCTATAATGTTGTAAGGGTGCACGCTCTTATAAAGGGAATAGAACGTTTAAAAACCAAGACAACCGCAGTTGATTTCCAACACGTGTCGGGTTTCTAATGTGCTCTCTTGCTTAAAGTGGGTATGCTTGCTAATACACACTGTTACATATACGCAAGTGCTTGTGTACAACCCCGTGCGCCCTAGATATAAACCCAAGGAGCATGACTGTTCAGCACTTCTAAGGCGGAGTACTTCGTACCCATCGCCGTGGGACTACTGCCTCATCTTAACACTGCAATCCTCTACAACACGCCTGCTGAAATTTCTGCTCCTCAGAAATAAGCGTCGTTGACTGGTCAATGAAGTTTACGTTCGGGTAAATGTGCATAGGATTCCCCCTAAAACCTCGCCTGCTCCCCGCCCCCACCGCTGTTGAGATCTACCGGACTTCAGATATCAACTCGTCAAATCGTGATTGTGCCCAAAGCTATTTAGAAATTACGCACGCTGTCAACTGGTGGCAGACGGACTTTGCAAATAGACCGAAGGGCGGAGTCCATTGATCAGGCAACAGCAAACGAAACTACCTTGTGGAGGGAAAATATGTCCCCAAGACCCCAAAACTTTATTCCCATCTTATTTCTCGAAAAAGCGCTATCTCTCGCTCTCTCTTAGAAAGGAGAAACCCTATCCGCTGTGTTTTGTTGATCTGCAACCTCGAGATTCAATAAATGAGCAACATTTATTTTCAGCCCACTGTCTTAAGCGGCGAAAAGAACATTGTTTATCTAAGAGACTGCCGTGGACGCCCTTGGGGAGGTCAAACTGGTGGCCTACATCTTTCGCCTAGCTTTTTAATCATCTTTCTGGTTTTCTTCTGCTTTAAACTGGTGGGTTTTTAATATTGCAGTGCTTGTAATTACTGTCTTGGCGGCAGAAAGGCGATTCATAAATACGTTTGACATATAATGATGTTGATGTACAGTATCACGCTTTTTTTGTTTTTGTTTTTTTCAGGCTCCCCTCTGCGGGAACCGATTTTGTAGGCTTCAGTCCTATACCCACTGACGTGGAAGAAAGCCACTGAATTCCGTGGGATTTACTCCAAGGTGAGTTACTATAGGAATGCAGCCTTACTTTTGGCTAAGGATGCATAAATTGCAGGTGGAGTCGGCTCTAAAGGAAGCCTCACTCCACATTTCTCAGCAGATGAATCTGTTTACATCGGGTTTTGCCCCCGCCCTTCTGCATTATAGCATTTTTTGTGTTTTAATGGTGCTTTTAAGTTTAAGTGATATCGTAATGTTATTTAATATATTTTATCCAATATACATACACTGCCCCGGTGAGGAAAAAAATCCAGATACTGTACTGGGATAATAATATTGATCTATCTTGCAAGGCAGTTTTATGGATTGCACCAACACAAGCTAAGGCGCCTGAAGTATTTTGTACGCTCTACAGTGCTGTATGCAAAGGAATTATTGGTTCCGCTAACATTATTCATATATTAGGCACTATTGGTCGAATTTAGAAATATTTATTTACTCTCTTTACGGAGTCGGTACTTGGCCGGTTCAAGAGGAACTATTTATTTTGCACTCGGGATGTATTGAGATCTGTCCAGCGATGCACCGCAGCGCAAGACACGCCTGTTGTGGATTTTGACATTTGTTGAATCCCTTGCCAATTCCCCCCCCCCCAACCGTGAATTCTTCTCCTCTCCCCCTTCGGAGTTGTATTTGGGGTAAGAGATGTACATAAAAATTGGTGAATGCACACCGACGAGTTACTTCGTTTAAGTTAAATAAAATAAGATTTCTTTAAAATAATAATAATAATTTTGGCTTTATAGGGTTCATTCATCATTTCGCCCTTTTGCCAAACCCGCTAGCCCGTGTGGCATCGTAGTTAGAGCGCTGGGACCTGTGAGGCCAGGATTCAAATCTCTACTCAGCCAGCGATTCTGCTTGGGCCAGTCGCTTTCTCGCTCAGCCTAGTTTACCTCTCAGGGTTGTTGTAAGAATAAGACGAGAAAAGGGGAGAGCTGTATAGGACACTTTAAGCTCCATGGAAGAAATCTGGAGTAGAATAATTGTGATGGTGATGATAAATAAATAAAGAAGTTGACACTTCTGCGCCTCTTTTCCCTCAAACCTGCGATTTTGAAATGCTATAGATTATTTCTGCTACTGTTGCGAAACTGGATTCCGTAGGAAATGGGGTGTGAAAAATGCTCTAACCAACTGCGCCTAAATTGCTCTAAACAGTCAGTCTGCGCCATCCAGGGACCATCGGCGCTCCCACCTGGGAATTATGAACGCAACACTCCCGCTCCTCTAAGCCCGTATTTGTGTAGCAGCTATTGGCATTAAGAGGTTAAGAAAGAAGTTGGTTTCCTCGACTGTAGTCCAGATTGGGAGTGACATCTCGTTAAACTCAGGGGATTTACTACTTCCTAGAAAACCTGCCTGAGAGATCCCGCTGAAACGAATGCCAAAGGCTGGTCCTCAACTGCGCCGGAGGCGCGCATCGGTGGGAACCGACCGATTGAGCCAAGAGGGACGTGGGTCAGTAGCAGCTGTATCGGGGCTGATGTTAGGCTGGGGTGCTAGAGAGTCTCCCCGCGTTTGTTAGTTTGTTTGTTTTGTAATTAAGTGGCCCAAACCCCGAAACGCAGTTAAACAGTTACTGTAGGTGTGTTTTGAGTCAGTGGTATTTCAGCGTATTTAATACTTTCAGAGAGAACGGGATCCAAATTCTGGGGTTTAACTGGGCTGCTTGTTTCCTTATCTCCAAGGTGAGAGAAAGAGTCCAAGGGAGGGACTGAGAATTTCGATGTGGTGCAAGAGACGGGCGTTGGGAATGCAACTGGTTCTCGGCAGCGCCATTCGGACAGAACGCTTCCTCGGGGAGAAGTCTTAGGAGTGCGGCTGTGACTTTGTTTTCACCTTCTTATAAGAATAAAAATGAATCGGCAGCCAGCCATGATATTGCAGAACTCAGAGCTGCTTTTCGGCTAAGTTCTCTGCTCCAGAAAACAGCCTCACCTTCTTTCAAGACGTCTCCCGCAGCTCCTTGCCGAAAATGCCCTCGATTCTTTCCCTTGCTTTCTGTCCCTACCACCTTAGGCAGGTAGGGCCGATCAGAGCCTGGTTTCTGGGGAAGTCTCCGAAAGAAGGGAAAGGGCGCTTGGTGGCGGCGGGGTTGGGGATGTTTTTGGTGCCGGGTCTTGGAGGGCAGAAAGGAGATTTAATAGGACCCCTCTTTGCCCAGATGGGCTTGCCACTAAAATTGCAGTACTGTGTATTTAAAGAGGAAGTTTTCAAGCTACACAGAGCTGGAGGGAGGGGAGCCTTGCCTCGCTCCACGCTCCTAAAGCTTGAAAGTGTTTTTCTTTTAAAAAAAATTCACTGAAACCCGTGAATTTGAACAACGCAGCAGTCAATCTTGCCTGAAGTAGAGCCCGGTGCAATACCAAAGCTTACTACTCTGCCAGCAGCCTTAAGGAAGGGTGCCATTTTTCCTTTCCGTGGCAACCTGCTGGTCAAGATCCCCTGAAGTCCAAGGCAGGGTCCAGCTCTCCGCGCAGTTTGATCCCAGCTAGCACCGATTTCAGGAGGCGCAGAGTGTTGAAGGACGACTTCGCTGCCTTAAGCATTTGAGGAGCAGGTTCCCTTGACAGCGATGGGAAGCTAAAGCAGAGGTTTTGGAGCGGCTGTAGCTGCTCCCGCTTGGCTTACAGAAGGTGCTGAGTTCAATTCCTGTCATCTCCAAGTAGGTCTGATGAAGACCCTCTGGCTAAAACCCCGGAGAGCCGCTGCCACCCACGGCAGGCGATGCTGAGCCAGACAGACCAAGGATCGGATTTCACAGAAGGAAGTCGATATTAATTCCTGCTTTCTCTCTCTTTTTATTCAAAAAAAGCCAGAGATTTCATACGATTCCCACACTTCATTATTTGGGGCTTTGCGCCTCCAAGTGCTTTAGAGGTACAAATCAACCAGCGCACACCCTAACCCTACTAACTGCATTATTACTGAAATGATAGATATATCAGGAAGGTTCAAATCCTGCCCCGGGCGAGCTTCTTGTTTTGCACCCGCAGCTGATTCGGGTACGGCGTTGCTTTTGAAGTGGTTTTGCAACAACCACACATATACACCATCGTTTATTTCTAAGGTTTTGGGGGCCCACTCAACTTTAAAGAGCGTTTGCTAGAGAAAAGAGGGTGCGCGCCTTCCTATAAGGCGCAGATTTCGAACCCCTGAAGGGGAGACTTCGTTGCATTGGATGATGCGCATCCTCTGCTTAGCGTCAGGTGCAGAAGAAGCTGATGCGAGACAAGCCCCCCATTGGATATTTAGCAAATTTGCCCTCCGAAAAGAACCTACAAATTGATCGCCCTTTGCAACAGACTGCCTTGAAAGGCGCCCCAGTAGCCCACCCCCCCTTTTTCGGTACTGTCCGGGAAGGCGAGGAAGCGAGGGTCTTACCTTTTTGGACTCCCGGCCCCAGTGATCCCCACGCCTGGCTTTTGCCTTCTTTGAACAAAGTTTCCCCAACTGGGTCTGCAAATAAGATCAGCAAGAAGAGAGACAGAGGGAAAGAGAGAGGGGGGAAATGAGCGCAAACCCAAACCGATCCCGATCCCCACCCAAGAATCTCCCCGTAATTGGGACTTGATAGAGGGGGCGGGCGCGTTGGACAAGCTCCCTCTCTCTCTCCAGAGCGAGCCTGGTTGTATTTCAAAGTCCCCCCGCCGCCCGCCTCTGCCGCTCTGCCTCGCCCCCCCCCCCATGCCAAGCCGCTATGAAGCCAGGAAACGCGTCCAGGAAAAAGGAAATCCGACTTCCGATGGGAGCCGTCGGGGCAGCTTTAAAGAGGGACGGCGAGAGAGACGGCTCTGCGCGCCTGCTGAAGAGCGCCAAGGAGCGATCTTCGTGGAGGGGGAGAAATGGCAGTTAGGGGAAAGGAGCAGGAGAAGAAACGGGACGCAGAGGTGGGAGCCTCGGGTCTGGGCTGGGAGGAAAGGGACCGATCCACCACGTGGAAAGCTGCGGCGGCGGCGCCGGGCAGCCCTCGCCTTTGGTCCCTGCCCTACCTGGCAGGTACATGTTGAGCAGCAGGGTCCGGGCCGCGCCGCGTCTCATGGCAGCTCTGCGCCCACCCCGCGCCCGCGGGGGGTATTATTGCCTTCGCCTGGGGAAGATGATGGTTGTTATTATGTATTACGGTCCCCACCCGTCGAGGCAGGGCGCGGGATGGGGAGAGCGGCGGCGAGGGTGGGGGCAGTCTCCAAGCAACCTGCGAGGGGCGCAGGGCCTGGGCGCCTGCAATTTCCTCTGCGCTTTAATTAAAGGCGCGGCGCGGGCGCTTATCGCCCCATCGGACTTTAATAAAGTTCCCCCCGTTAAAGATCGCCGTTTCTATGGAGAGAGGCAGCCGCGGCCCTCGCATTTTCCGCCTCCTTAACTCTTTGCAAACACACAGCGCCTGGCCTGGCCCTCGCTCGGCGGCGCTTCTGCTCCAGTGCCTCTGAGCCAACAAGGAAACGAGCCCCGACGGAGGCCCTAATGGGCCTTTAACCTGAAAGTGATTCTGTGCCCCCCCGCCCCCCACCCACAAGCGGAGCCGCGGCGAAGGTGCCGCATCCTCCTTTGGGGGGCGAAGAGACCGGAGGGACCGGATTCCTTCCACCACCCGCTCCTCGCCATGGAGCCTCGCCGAATCAGCCAAAAGGCTTCTGTCGTTTCCCACCTTTGCTCGCAAGATGCTTTCCAGAAGCTGAGAGGGAGCACAGCAAGGCAACGATCTTCCCTGATATTTGTCCTCAGTACCAGCTGCTCAGAGGTCGAGCATCTCTGAATGAAGAGGTTCCATTTCGCTGCCATCGGATAATCTGTTAATCGACTCGCCCACCCTTCTGCAACCTGGTGCCCGCCAGACATAGGAGCCAACTCTTAGGGGCCAAGGTCCCTTTGGCCCCAATAAAATATTTGAGGGGGTCAGGCCTTCCGAAAGTTGGTGTGCATTGCCGTTCAAATGGTGTGCATGCACTGCATCATGTGATCAGTTATGTGGGGTGGGGTTTACCTGCAAACCCCCCCCCATATTTTATTCAGATTGGCTGTCACCCCTGCCACCAAAGGTCTTGGGCTGCCTGCAATGTTGACTGGGGCTCATGGGAGTTGTGGCCTGACAACATACTTCATCTAAGATTTAGATGGTACATTCACTACTTGCTACTGCTATCTCCCCCCTCCCCGAAATAAACTAATTGTATTTGCATGTATAGTCCAATGCCTCTCAATAACTCTGGTGGAGGAAAGCGATTCCACCTGCCCCAATATCTATACAATAGTGAATCAAAATTGTATATATGTTAGTAACTTAAAACAACAGTAGTAGTAAGTAGATGAATTTCCAAAGGGATAGCCATGCTGGATAGTTGCATCTTGAAGACCAACACATGATAGCTTTCAAGGGGGCACTCTTGGATGTGTCAGTAACCCTCTTATAATAGTGCATTATAGTTGTATTTCCTTCCCCACCTCTTGCATCACTCAGTCACAATGAGTTCCACATGTCAGCCTACTTGAAGGAGGTTTAGCAGGAAAACAGTGGGGCGGGTGGCATTATGTGAGCCAGGTTACGACAGGGCTCTCTTTTCCTTTCTGAGGGCTTCTTCTTTTCTGGGTACAATTCAGAGTGTTGGTGCTGACTTTTAAAGCCCAAAACAGCTCCAACCCTGTATACCTGAAGGAGGGTCTCCACCCCCATTGTTCAGTCCAGACACTGAGGTCCAGCACTGAGGGCCTTCTGGTGGTTCTCTCATTGAGAGAGAAGAGGTTACAGGGAACCAGGCAGAGGGCCTTCTCAGTAGTCACACCTGCCCTGTGGAGCATCTGCCCCGCAGATGTGATTTTTAAAAGATGTCTGAAGTTTTTTGTGTGTGTATTGATGGTTTTTTTGTTTTGTTTTTGTTTGTTTGTTTGTTTTTTGTAGGGAGCCACCCAGAGTAGCTGGGGCAGCCCAGTCAGATGGGTGGCATATAAATTGATGATGATAATGGAAGGAGCTCTTTGGAAACAGGGCCCTCCTAGGCAAACATGATGGTGGTGTCAGTGCTAAGGTTACTGCCACAACTATGGAGCCGAGTGAGAAGTCTATCCAAGACAGCAGATTTTGGGTGATGGTGGTGAAACAGTGTTGCTATTGGCAGTGGAGGCTAAGGCAAAAGGGGCAACACCCCACCAGCTTCACTCTTCCCTCAGCCAGCCTCCACCTGCCTGCCTTCTTACTTACAACCAGCCCAAGGGAAAGGGGTGATGGCTGTCAGCTTTTCCTTCCTCTTTAGACTCAGTATAGAACTTTGTAGAACTTGGCAGGAAGAAGGACAGTGAGAAAATGGTCCTACCTACTGTTGTCCTCCCTGTCTTCTGCCCCGCAAGTACCAGTGAGCACCAGTTGCCACTGGCTTCTGGGGAGGGGCTGCCAAGGCTCTATCCCAACCTGGTGCCCTCCAGATGCTGTTGGACTCCAGGCCCAGGAGCCCCAGCCAGCACAGCCAATGGTCAGGGGTGATGGGAGCAGTAGTCCACCAGCATTTGGAGGGCACCAGGTTGGGAAGAGTTTTCTACAGAAACGTGGTTTGAAGAGTGGTTGATGAATGCAGGCTGGAGTTGGCAAGTTTGATATGCTCTCTGTCAAAATGCCAAAGAGCCTCTATCCTATCCCCTATTAGAATACAGAACCACAGTCTACCTTTAATTTGGGGGGGGGGGAATATTTATGAATCAATAATCATCATATCATGCACATGCACAAAAGTTGGGCATTACCTCCTTAGGTCCTGTCATTTCCCCCAGGTTCTGTATACTGTACCTTGTCTGGGCAAGCAGACAGAACAGAGACATCTAGTGGCTAAATAAGGGGAAATGCATGTATTTCACACTGTCAAGGCATCAGAAGGCAGCAAGAAAACAACACGTGGTCTACACTCTTGTTCAGAGAGCTGAAAGAAGATGGGGTGGGCAGATGAGAGATCTGGAAAGACCAATGCCTATCTGCTTCCTTGCCTTTCCCTTTTGAGTTCTTACTTTTAATCTCAGAAAAATAATAGCAACAGGCCCCTTTGCTATGAAAATTGCCCTTGTTGTTTTGCACACAGGATCTCCCTCCCCATCTTCCATCACTACAAGCAAGTTAAATCTCACCAAAGTAGGAATCAGTTTGCAGGCCAACCCAAAGGTTCTCATTAGCCTGCAACAAAATGTAACTAGAGGCTTAAAGGACAGCTGTCATGAACTGGGACACACTGGGGCAAGCTGGGGAAGGGAATTTGGTGTAGGAAGTACTCACAGGGTGAAGGAGGTTGACAAGGGCATAGGGGTCAGTGCACAGGATCCAGAGCAGCAGGACCCATCACCAGAGTCAGAGGGGCCCCTGGCTCCACAAACATGGTGGGCTCTGAGGCATAGGGAGCAGCGAGTGGGGTGCTGCAGAAGGCTGAGGCAGGCAAGGTTTCACAGCCCAGTTCACTGGCTGGCCAGGTGGGGCTTGATAGCTCTGGGAGGAGGTGTGTGATTCCTCAGCTGGAGTAGGTTTGAAAAAGATGAGGGTCACATGCCTCGTCAAGCCCAGATGCTACATGCAGCATACAAAGGGCAGCAGAGTTCTAGGGCTGTGTCTGTTCATGTTGATGGATCTCAGCTTGAAGGCTCCAAGATTTCTGTGCTTAGGTTTGGACCTTGGACATGTGGATTGACACTGGACTGGGGACTACTGACTTGCTGCTAGGTAGGTCAGGGGTTCAAGACAACAACTGTATAACTGCTAGCGTGCTCATAGCCCAGGCTAAGCTAAGATGGATGTTTGATTTAATATGGTGTTTGGTGCAATATAACATCAGTGCTGGTTGGCCACTAATCTGTAATCTCATGACATTCCTGCGTATGGACAATGGGTCAGCGATGGCTGGTCTTCTCTGGTGTCTTAATGCAGCCTATGCAATGGAGGGGGTCACAGCGCCACTGTTGGCCATTGGCTTAGGGTTCCTCCACACAATCTGTTTGTTGAGCATTCATACTGATTTGCTTACACAAAGTTTTCATGGAGGTTACACTATGTTCAGTCTCATTTTGATTTGTTTGTAGATATGTTTCATGACAGTGGGCATTCATCCCAATTTGCTTGCAGGGTGCTCATGCATCTTACTGTTGTTCATCCCACACTTTTCAGTGCATTTTTCAGCCACTTTCCTAACTGCATAAAGTGGATCTGCTGTCCTAGGGTGACAGAGGGTTTGAATCCTTCCTGAAAAATAGGAACAGTCTGGAGGCATGCTTAGAATTGCTTGCTGCCACAGAAGATCTGAGTAGCTTTGGGCCAGTTGCTGTTATGGGGGACTGGAAGGACTTTAATCATTTGAATTCCAAGGCCCATTAGCTGGTTTTGGCAAATTAACACTGTGATGTTCAAAATAACAATGTGATGTTCAAACGACACCTTGTCAGGGCAGCTTAGCTGCACAGTTTGTGTGGGAACAGGCTGCTGTGTGCTGTATATGTGGTGAGACAAGAGATTTGTTATTGCAGGCTCCCTTGCAATGTTTTAATATGTCTAGGGCAAAAATTTCCTTTTCCCTTCTCATATATGGGCATAATGGACATCCTTCCTTTGCTAGGAACCTTTCGTCAGAGATTGCCCCCGGAACAGACACGGCAAACTATGTTAATGGGTCTGTGTGGTTTACAAGAGATATCCTTTCAGATGTTGAGATGGGGCCTGCTGATATAAAGTATCAGAACCTCTTTAAGAAACTGTTGTCAGATTCAGGAATCTCATGTTAATGCCCTCTGTTAATGGTTTTCTGTACATGCGAGCGGACTGGGAGGTGGCATGCCTCTGAACATGTGCAAAGTGTCCTCTATTCACCTCTCTCTGTGTGTAGAAAAAGATTAGGCTGGGTTTCCTGCACAGAGGATGTCCCACAGGCAGACAAGCTCTTCTGCTTGTGGACCCTAATGGAAACATACTCATTTGGAAGTGTCTGGGGTTCAGGGCTCAAATATCCTTGGATAACCAATGCTGTAGTATTCCAAGGTTTCCATTTCATCGGTTATTGCTGTTACTATGTGTTAAGAGGCACTTCGCCTCTTCCCCATGCAGTGCCAACACTCCTTTTTAAACACTGGGATGGGATGCTTCTGAATGGGAAGTTAAGTGGATCCTCTCCTGGAAGGTTGTCCATAAGAGAATGGGCTGAAAAAGTTTCCCTATCCCAGGTATACAGAAACCATTTGTCCAGGTCATCCCAAATCATCTATTTGGGAAGCCCGACAGGCCATTCACATCCTGTCACCCCTGAGCGGACATGGGGAACCTATGCACCCCTCCCCCCGGATGTTGCTGGACTGCAGCTCCCATCATTCCTGACAATTGGTCTTCTGGGTGTGGCTGATGGGAGTTGGAGTTCAACCCGTCTCTGCCCTGTGATCCATTGGTCCATCGTGTTCCACAGCTGTGCCATCTTTATGTCCTGCTCCATGTTCTGGCTCAAGTGCATCTTCTCCAGCTTGCTACATTTGATCTTTCACAAATGGAGGACTCTCCTTTCATGCCCCAGACTTGCTTTAGCTGCCTGAGTCCTATTAATCAGCCGCAGGCAACTGAAAACAAGCCCAGCGCAGGTAGGATATGTGGTGTAGATTAAAGATGGTGGAACTGGGTTCTCGATCCCCCAAAGCTTTCCACACAGTCTCTGGAGACATAAAAAGCAAAGCAGCAAAGGAGATGTGAGATAGTGACAACAGCCTCCCTCCCTTTCATGGTGGCAAATACAATAGTCTGGCTTGTAGAGCTGGTGTTGCGCCATATATTTTTTTTATGAGGCTCCAGTTACCCCATCAGGAGGATCTACGTTACCCTGTTTAATCCACTTCTGAGACAGGTGGCTCAGGAGCAGGAATGGGGAATTTGTGGCCCTCCAGGTGTTGCTGGACTCCAACCCCCACTGGCCCGTCAGGGAAGACGGGAGTTGCAGTTTAGCAACAGGTAGAGAGACACAAGTTCCCCATCCCTTTTCTGGGGAGAAACGTCGAAAGGGCTAGAAGGGTCATTTACCCACAATGAGAGAGGGCAGAAGGTAAATCAGGATCTACCAATAGCTTTCTGGGTGGTTTGCATGAAACAGATCACAAAGGATTTCTGATTCTCAGTAGTTTAACTATAGCAATGACCAGTGCTTTTTTTCTAAAAAAAATGTTTATGGGTACTCTTTTTGACTCAAGAAAATCACCATTTTATAGTTCAAATCGGGGAAAATAAATACAGCAAATGGACAAAAGCATAAAGATTCACAAAATGTTTAGGGTTAGGGTTAGGGTTGTACCACTACGCACCCCCAGAAAAAAAGCACTGGCAATGACTTTCTACCAAGCTGGGTTGCTGAAACAAAGCTTGTGGGGTGGGAGTGAGTGGGAAACCAGGAACAGATTTTTGAATGAAAGAACCATGAGCTCCATTCCTGGGCTGAGACATGCACTCAGAGGTGCCATATCCCTTAATTCCAAGCGTACTGTATGTCCAGCACAGCCCCCAGTTAAGCCATTCTTTTGCACTTTACTTCAGTTGGTGGACTTTGAGGTTCCATGAAAAAAACAAAGTGGATCCTGCAAACTTGAAATCTACTTGCCAGTGCTGTGGTGCAGCTATTCCAGAGCATCTAACCCCTGTGCATGCTGTGAAGGAGAAACACAACTTGGGGCTATTAACTGTTTGCATTTGGGCACCTAGGTTGAGTAAGAAACAGGGGGAGGAGGAGAGCTACCACCAGTCTAAAATCAGCAGACTGTGTGTACTCTGTGTGAAAATCTGCACTAAGGTAGATGTCACCAGCCACCCCCCCACCCTGAATTCTACAATATGAATAATCAAATGTGCATATATTTGCACATTTGCATATTCATATTCTGCTGGTTAGAGAGCCTCTCTACCAGTGCAAATCCTGCTCAATGTTCCACAAGGCTTCTAATATTTTTCCAGGTATTGCCCACTCAATTTGTAGCCATAAGGGCTAGAAAAATACATAAAAATAAATTGGTGCCTGCATGATGAAAGCATGAAATTGCAGGCTATACAAACAGCCTTGAAACATGTACAGTAACAATAAGCAGGGAACCTTAATATGTGAGTAGTACATTTCTCTCTCATCTATAGATGACCATGGTCAGTCCCAACATTTCTGGGATCAGGAAAAGGGGATCCCTCTCTTCAGATGATGTGGCTTCTAGGCAAACATGCATTCTGGAACCTCCATTTTGAAAGCAAATCACCTCTATGTAGGTGGATCAAATGGCATATTATTTCCCTTTTTTATCCTTGCCAAAATCCCCAAAGGATAAGCTATACAGAGACAAACCCAACACAGTGAATCTCATAGCTGATCAAGAGCTGGAACCACACTCTTTCAAACACACTGGCACCAGCCTGGCTGTCTTCTTAAAACGTAAAGGTAAAGGACCCCTGACAGTTAAGTCCAGTCGCGAACGACTCTGGGGTTGCAGTGCTCATCTCGCTTTACTGGCCGAGGGAGCTGACATTTGTCCGCAGACAGTTTTTCCGGGTCATCAGTGTTAAGTCCTAACCTCAATTGGATTGCGAATTTGGACAAAGGACAGGCTGAAATGCTTTGGATCAGGGAAGGCAAATAAACAGAGCAGGTTCCAGGGACAGGGCAGGGGGAGATATTTTAGGGAGTGATTTTTAGACTGTCCAAGTGTAGTGAAAGGAAATGATAAATGATACAAGCTCACCCAAGTGTATTTTGTGTGCACCCTTTAAACCATCATCTCTGCCACCCTGATTCTGCATTCAGTCACAAATCTGTGATGGATTGAAATCCCCACATCCCCACTTCTACTCACATATGGAAAAGAAATCTGTCTACTCCAATGATGAGTACAGCCAAGTTATGAGGTTCTAGCCATAGGCTGACCTGTCTATTCTCACCAGCACAAAACAGCAATCTTGTGCCCAGAGACCCTGAATAGGTTCAAGTTTCCCATCCCTTAAAAAAAACATAAACACAAAACTTCTAACTCCTGCATGAGGCTCTGGAGCAGACGCCCACTGCATAATCTGCCCCCAGCTTTGTTTCGACTTACCTGTGGGCCTGCTCAGGGAAGAAGCTGACGTGGCCCTGGCAAGGAAAGCCTCAGGTATGCTACCTGCTTGCAAAAGGGAGGGAGGGTGGACAGCTGAGCTCAGGTGGGGTGGGACGTTCTGTGTGTGAAGGAATGTTTGTGCATAGGGAGAGGCCTGCAGCAAGCACTTCCTTATTGGAGGCAGGGCAGAGGGAAAGTGCTAAGGAGCAGCCCACATGCGCCCTGTGATTGAAAGGGCATGTTGAGTAATGCAAACGGATCTGGCTGCCACCTGTTTTCTTGGCAAGGCTTCTCTGCTTTACTTTTAGCAGCTGCACGACAAATAGACATTGCAGCACAGTGTCAGAAACCCGCTGAATTTCTGCCTGTATGCAGTTGTTCACAGCATAGGAGTTCTATCAGAAAATAGGTGATTACCCCATAATACGTGATTGCAAATCAGAAATCGGAAGAATCGAAACATGAATGGGTTGAGGCCGTCTAATTATTTACGATGATGGAGCAGGGAAGCTGTTGCTGTTGTTGTTGCTAGCAATGCTGCTTGTGCTTTTGCTGAGCCTGGGAGCTGTGTGGATGCTGCAACGTGTCTGTGTGAGGAGCCTGGAGAGAGGCACAGAAGCAAACAAATATGCAGGCCATTTCAATTAAGCACATGCTTAACTCTTTGTCAGCCAAGGGGACTTTGAAGTACTTGAACTTCATTGGACTGTACCTGTGTGGCATTCATTAGATATTTTTATTTTATGTTATGTTTTAAGTTATTCTTATTTTTACTATGTATTTTGTGGTTTTTATGTTGTAATTTAATGTTGTGAACTGCCCTGAGATCTGCAGGTGAAGGGTGATATACAAAATTTAATAAATAATAATAAAAGTAATTTCCAATACTAAATTTTGCTATGCTCCTCTAGCTCAAGAGGAATATGTAACTCCATATGTATATGGACTCTAGGAGAGGAGAGGGGCAGCTCTTAACTGTGGGGATTGAGCCTAGGGTCCTTGAGGCTGGAGGGTATTTCTTCAAAGCCAGAGTATGAGACAGAGTACAGACCTAAGTTCACATTTATAGGGCAGCTGCAGGACTATAGGCCTGGAGGAAGGAACCTCAGGCCCAGGGGCTGAATGTGGCCCTCCAGGTCTCACTATGTGGCCCTTGGGGCTCTTGCTAGGCCACACTGTGTCCCAGGTAATGCCACTCATTGGCCCTGCTCCACACCCTCTTCAAGTGCTTTTGTTTAGCCAGAACATGTCATTGAATTGCGATAATGCCTCTTGTTTCCTGAAAAGAAGTGTGTGCTCACAGGTGCAAACTGCTTGTGTAGCTTACTGTATAAAGGAAAGACTCACATCTGTTGCTCTGGCCATTTTTGCAACTGCCCTGCACCCACCACTGACATGAAGCCCCCCAAAAGTTCCATGAGAGACTATAGCCCTCAAGCTACAGAGATTCCCCATCTTTTCCTTCAAGACCCTTTCTTGAGTTTTTTTTCCCTGCACTGCACAGTAGTCCAGCTTTTCCAAACCTGTTTGCATGGTACACGAGGATGAGCTAAATATTGGCCACATTCACATCTTACATTTGAAGTGCTACAGTACCACTTTAAACAGGCATGACGACTTCCATGGGCTCAACAACTTTGGTTGCTCAAACGCTCAACAGCTTTGCCAGCCCCCACCCCCAACAAAAATCCTGGCTATGCCCATGATGACTTCCCCCTGGGAAGAGGGGATTGGTTATTGAACCACCCTGGGAATTGTAGCTCTGTGAGGACAATAGGGGCTCCTAGAAATATTTGAGGAAGCCATGGTGATTTAAAGTGATGGTATAGCACTTTTAAACGTGTAGTGTGCATGTGGCTGTTGTCAGAGAGGTGCAGTATGCTCTGAGCAGCTGGAAGCTCAAGTCATGCTTGGAAATGTTATTGCAGGTACGCCATTTCAGAGCAGCGGGTGAGGGGATTCATCAGGGTATTTTGAGCACATTGAAGGTTAAATAGCATATATGCTGTGTATTTTCAGAGCATATCCAGTACTGTATATATTATATATAATCTTCAAGCTGTAGGAATGTTATTAACATTGGATGAACAGGCATCCCCCCCCTTTTTTTGAAGCAAGGGGGGTCTGTGCCTTTCTCATGCATATGCTATATGGATCAGTAAGTAGAACTAGTGATCTCACCACAGGTAATAGGTCCCCCAGGACTAATCCTTGAGTCCAAAATACTGTTTGTGGAAGGGTTGTCAGCCCCTGGTTTTTCCTCCCTGTGTTACCACCCCAGAGGAGTTAATTAATCAATCATGCCCAGTTAATTGCATGATTACCGAGTGAAAAGTGCATTCACGTGAAAACTATTGCTCTTGGACATCTGTGGGTACCACTTGAACCCAAGGTACCACCTGTGTATTGTCAGCGAGGGCAGATTACTAGAATCCAGAGAAATGTGGGACCTGGAGATTAATTCTGCAAGACAAGCACAAGACTCCGACCCTTTTCTGAGTCAGGAGATGGGACGCTCCCCCCCCCCCATCAATCGATGCAGAGGAGGGGCTTGGTGGGAATTGGTCCCCACCTTCTCCTCCGGTGAAATGGATCGAAGCAGAGGGAGGGGACATTTATTGTAACCGCCGTGCAATGGAAGGGAAGTCCGACTGCTAGTGTTTCCCCCACTTCTGGGTGGGTTTGCTCGCTGCAAACGAAAGGCGTCCAGTGCCGGATTCCTGGGCGGATGTGGCTGACTCTGAGAGGTGGAGCCTGGCAGTGTTTTGCTGGAGGGAGGAGCCCCAAGCAAGCAAAGTCAATTCAGTTCAAAGCAGCTCTGTTGGCAAGGGTTGTTTATGTAAGGCTTGCCAAGGTTCACGATAAGGGATGTTTGGAGAGGGAAAAGGAGCCATGCACCTACAATCAGACATGATCTTTTCACCAGAGGCCACACCTGAGTTTCTTTTCATTCAGTGTTACAAAAATGGCACATATTTTGTGGCACCTTGCAAGCTGACAAATCTATTGTATGGCATGAACTGTCCTAGAGTCTGCAGAGGCTCATTACATTCCTGAGAACAAATGTCTTGCCAACATGGGCTTGCCAAGAGTAGTGACTACTAATTCCTGGGCTGCCCAATTCAAGACCAACAAATCCATACACAAGTATACCTAATAATATTCTTTGTCCTGGAACAAATGAAGAAATAAAAAAGAGAATCCCTCTGAATGCATTTTGCATTTTATCAAGTAACTCCAATAACCTTAAAACACTGGAATTAGGGATAAGAGACTCCACGTCAGAAGGAAAAAATTACCATTTTACAATTCCCACCCAGAGCCTGCAGTCTCTTTGACAGGCTTTGACAGTATGCTAAACTGTTACCTGCAGTGACCAGTAGCAGCCCAGCATGCTAGGACTGACAGCAGGTCATGTATTGATTCCAAAAGCGAATCTGAATATTAGGTGATACACTGGATAAGAAAAGTCAATAGGAGTCAAATTGGTAGCTGTAGCCTAGAAGGTGGAGGGAATGTTCATTCAGAGAATAAGATCAGCTGGTATTTCGTGTTTCTCTTTCATTTTCTAGGGCACTTCCAGACCATCACTATTTCTGGCTGGGATGCAATCATATACAGTGGTACCTCGGGTTAAGAACTTAATTCATTCTGGAGGTCTGTTCTTAACCTGAAACTGTTCTTAACCTGAAGCACCACTTTAGCTAATGGGGCCTCCTGCTGCCGCTGCGCTGCCACTGCACGATTTCTGTTCTCATCCTGAAGCAAAGTTCTTAACCCGAGGTAAGCAGAGTCTATAACCTGAAGCGTATGTAACCTGAAGTGTATGTAACCCGAGGTACCATTGTACCAGCAAATTTCAGTGGCACAGTTAGAGTTGCACCACAAACCCACTTCCCCCCAAAATCAGACCTTTTCCCAATAAGAAGAATTACAGGAAAGGGTGGGATAATACTTGCTTTATGCTCCCTCAAAACAAATCAGGATGAATGTTCAAAAAACAAATTGTCTTGAAGCAAACCTTGTTTCAGTTCCCAGTTAAGGTTGCCCACTTTAGCCAGCCTGTGTAGCTGTGCCTTTAGCAATAGCTTACTGTATAGAATTGGCAAGTGAAATGAATGACCTTCTGATTTCTACACACCAATCTGCTAGTAAAGCAGACCACTGGGGGGGGAGGTGTTTGTGGCTTTTTTGGAGTTGACAAGTCTACTTCAAGTTTGTGAGAGTCTTGCCCACTTTACAGATGGTGGGTTGGCTATGAAGCAGATATAGTGTTCTATGAAAGGACTTGTGTTGGTTTAATTGGTTGCTCACTTTTGAATTCAAGTTATGTGATATGTCAGTGTTGCTGTTTTGATTCTATCTGCACTCTTTGTTGCATAACTTGTCATGGGTCATGTAACCTAGGAAATAACATCCAGAGGACAGGACTAGAACTAATGGATGGAAGGTACAGGGAAGCAGTTTTGAGCTAAACCTCAGGAGAAACTTCCTAATGGTAAAAGCCATTTAACAGTGGAGCAGACTTACCTAAAGAGGTGGTGGGCTTTCCTTTGCTGGATACATTTAAGCCAGGTATGGGGAAGATTTGGCCCACTGGACTGATGGAGCTCCCATCAGCCTCAGCAAGCATGGCCAATGGCCAGGGATTATGGGAGATGTAGTTCAGCAAATATCTGGAGAGCTAAAGGTTCCTGACACCTAATCATAGCTGTCAACGTTTTCCTTTTTTTAAGGGAAATTCCTTTATTCCGAATAGGATTCCTCGCAAGAAAAGGGAAAAGTTGACAGCTATGCACCTAATTAAAGCAAAGGCTGTCAACAATGCTCCAGCTGCATCCTGCATTGTAGACAGGGGTGGGCTAGATGACTTGCAAGGTCTTTTCCACATTTATTGTTTTATGAATAGATTCTGTTCACATTTGGATCAAACCTTTGGCTCGTATCTCTCTGTAATTGGGCTGTACCAAAACCTGTATTCTGAGTAGCTGAGGGGGGAACCTCAGACTTCTCCATTTCCATTGCGAGGCGTGAGTGAGCTATGTCTCCACAGTCACAAGGGGAAGAAAGGAAATGAGTCATTGTGCCTTTGTATAAGGATCCCCAACTAAGGTTGCCAACTTTTCAGCTGGTCTCAGTAACTGTGCCATTAACAGCAGCTTGATATGCGCAGGCATTAGCAGATAAGGTTTATCTTCATGCTGTGAAAAGCTTCCCTGCCAGATTTCTGAATGTGAAGATGCGGTTTAAAAACACAAGCACAGACCAGACCACTTTTTCTGATTGGTTGGCAATCCTACTGTGGCTCAGTTTTAGTTTCCTTCTGGTGTAAAAAAACAAATGTTTGTCTGTGCCTTGTTGAAGCTTTAGGGATGGACCTTCAGTATGTTGTTCTGTGTGTCAGAGACAGTGAATTCTGCTTAGCTTTCTCGGTTTGTATGCCAGCAAGTAAACCAACCAGCCTGCTGGATATAAATAATAATAAAAATAATAATAACAGATGCACAAAAAGAAAGATGGGTTTGGTAAATGCCTTTATTGGCTACCAGGTGCAGGTCTACTGCTTGGCGGGCCCTTAGGCGCAGAGGCAGGTGTGGGGGTGCTGGTGGAGTGCAGGAGGGCCGATGCTGCTGCTGCTAAGACACAGCTCAGTGCTGGACACGGCGGATGGACTGGATCTGGTTGGTGTGGGCCTGGGTGCTGTATTCGCTGTACTTTTTGTATTCACCATTCTGTCTGTCCCGCTCCAGGACATATTGGTAGCCCCGGTACCCTGGGTATTGATATGCCACCCATCTAGGGGATAAAGCAGAACATTGGCAATACAGGCACTTCCAGCCCCAAAAGTATATCCTACACCGAAAAAGGGATAGTTCAGCCCCCCTCCCACTGCTTTTTAACCCATATCCTTTGGGGGGTCCACTCCTCCTCCAGCAGCTGTTACTGATCAACCAGTCTCAAAAGGGTCAGGATGCAACTGGGGAAGGAGACCGGGAGCCTGGGCTAGTTTCTCTTTAAAAAGGGAGGCAGCTATGGCAATCCCAAGATTGCTCATGGTTCATCCAGCTAGCTGTGCTTATCGGTGTTCTTGGCAAAGTAAGAATGAGGTTATGGGAGGATCCCTTTCACAGAACCTGAGGGGCGGGTGGCCCTTCCAACTTCACTCCAACTCAGAAGGCATCACTTACGCTCCAGAATTGACCTTGATAGAAGCCACCTCCTTGTTGCCCCAGCCCATGGCCTGCAGGGATGGATAGTCGTCGCTGAGCTCAAACTTGCGTCCTTGGAAGTTCTCTGCCTCATACAGGGTCACTTTGCTGTCACTGTGGTTCTGCAGCATAGGTTAAAGTGGAGGATGATTTGGTGTGGGACTGTCACAGGCAAAGACTTTTAATACCCAACAGATAAACCACAAGTTCACCATGAGTTGCCTAACAGATGAGCAAACACACCATGGCTTATTTCTCCAACATTTGTGGTTTTTTCCAGCTGCCCTAGCCTCGTGTCTTTTGGAGAGTGTCTGCAGTGAGGTGGTGAAACACACCATGTTTATGGAAGGGTACTAGAGTCACAGATAACACCAAGCCATAGTTAAAACAAACCAAGTGTTGTAAGCCAATAATAAACCACAGTTTCATATGGTGATTTGTTGGCAGTAAACAAACCATAGATACTGCTGGGCAGGGTTCACACGTAATGCTAAACCATAATTTAATAAACCATGACTTAGTGTTGTGTGCGAACCAGGCCAGCTATGACAGAGGAAAGGAAGAAAGCCAAGATCCTTGAATCTAAAAGAACACCATTTGCTATTCCTGCATTTTTATCCACCTTCCCTTTCAGCTCTCCTTTTCTTCCCTTTCTTCCCTTTACTCCCCTGTGGCTAAGCCACTGTCCTATTGGCAGGTTGGATTGCAATGATCAGATTGCAGTGGATGGTAGAGCTCCTCAGGCATTGCTCTGAAGGGCCCTTTTCCTGCACAACCAGCACCTGCCAAAATTCCCTGATCTGTATTATGGACTTGCTCCCTTCTTCCCTACCCCCTCTAATGCCAGTCCCTTCAACCATGTGAGGTCTCGTCATCCTCTGGGTGATGCCACAATGTTTATATTTGCTTCCCCTTATGACTGGACATCTGCGTGGCCCACCTCCCTTCAAAAACCTTTTGAAAATCCCCCCTTTTCCTATAAGGCTTTTGGCACAACCCCTCTTAGTCCCCATTCCCTACAAAGCCTAAATGAACTGTAGACATATACTGTAAACTTCTCAGGAGCTGGAATCTGTATTTTGCTTGACACGCTGTAAAACTCTGTGCACAGTGGTGATACTGCATGTGCACACAGACACACAGACACACACACACACACACACAGAGAGAGAGAGAGCGAGAGAGCGAGAGAGAGAGCATGCAAAGGAGTTTTATCATTCATTGCCTCTGGTTTCCCTAGATCAGAAGTCAGGCCCCTGTGATCCTCCAGACATTGTTGAACTCCAACTCCTATAATTCCCAGCCTGCATAGCCAGTGGTCAGGGATGATGGAAGTTAAGAGACCAGTAACACCTGGAGGACCTCGGGTCCCCCATCCCTGCCTTAGATGTCTGTGCTCCTTCAGCCTAGACTCTGGCTTACCATTCCTATTGCACAGCTTTCCTTTGCCTCTCACTTGGGCATCCTTGGGCACTGTATGTGCTGCTGCCAAGCAGCTCTTGGTGAATGACTGTCAAGCATCTTTATGGGTCTGTCTGTTAACATAGTCCCCAGCTAGCAGAAAAGAAAGGCTTGGGATTCTATCTGTTATGCAACGAAAACCCTCCCTGCTTTCCAAGTGGTCAGGATGCATAGTCTCTCACTATCCTGCTGTGGACTCAAGGGGTTAAAACTGAAACTGGGCACAGCTGCATCCCCCCTCCCCCCTCCCCTATCACCCATTCCTGCAGGCTGCACTCCGCCAAGTGATCCTGCCAGCCAGAAAGGAGATGATATCTCACACCCCTTTATTAAAGCGCGGACATAATCTGACTGGTTGTTATTAAAGCCCAGAGATGAGGACGTGCAGAGATTTTAAACCCCGGTTAGGAACAGAAGCAACCGCTCTTCAAGATGGAGTGATATGCCATACTGGCTATAGCCTGTTTGGAGCTGGTACTATATATTTGTCCTAGGAAGCCTGGCTGACACTTGCGAAAAACAAAAACAAAAAAACCTTTCCTTTTCAATGCCAACCTTTCCCACCCTTGACCAGCTTTCTGACTTTAATGCTAAAAAAAAAGCACCCCTCCCAACTTATTCATTTGTCTATGGAAGCTTTTTAATATATGCCACTCCACATTCATTTATTTAGTTTGCTTCTGCCATTGAGGCAGCTGTTTGGCCCCAAAGCCATGTGCCAAACTGAGCTGTGTGTCTCCCCTTCCTGCCCCAGCACCATACAGTGAATGAACACCTGGTTCCCCCCATGGGCTTGCCTTAGTTCAGTCCACTCTGCTTATGGATTGGGACACTTTTAGACAAAAAAGGAGTCCAAAGCATGTGGTTCATTTTAGAGTTATTTACCGCCTTGGCTTGCAGGGTGTGTATTGTTTGTCAAACAGCATGGGCCTCTTATTGATCTAGCCAAGGGACTCAGCCTTCTGACCCAGAGATGCTGCCATAAAAGCCCCAATGCACAGCACTTCTGCAGAGAGCGATCTAAATTCTTCATTCTCCTCGATTTCACTCATTTTAGTGAAAGCAAGGAGAAGGACTTGGAGGGAATTGTTCTACAGCAGTGATTTTTTTCTCTAAATTTGAAGGTGGCAACCCTAATCTGAGCCTTTCATTGGTTCAGATTAGGGTTGTGGGACCCCAGACCCTGATGAAGCTTTGAACAGAAGGGAAGTATTGTCTCATCACTGCAGGACTAAGATGGCGCAAACCAAAATGGGAGCCACTGTAAAAGATGCCAGCGCCCTCTCGACATCTGGACCTAGCAATCCTGTCTGAGATAAAAGCTATTTCTTCCCCATAGCCACCCTCATTTGTGAAAGGTCATGAAGATAAGCAGGATTGCAACCGTGTTTGGCCCTGTCCTCTCGAGTATATTGTTAACTGTTTATATGTGTCCCTCCCCTCCCCTGTTATTGAGTCACCATCTGGAGAATGGGCTTTTACCTTTAAGGCTCCCCAATGATACAGGAGATGAGATCTCCGCAGCTTCTCCAAACCCCTTTCCCCCTTGTTCCTTCTGACTGCAGTTATCGCCCTCATTTAACACTGAGCATAATTTTACATTTGCCCTGAGCCCCTGAAAATAAAAAGGTGGAAAACAGGAAGAGTGCCATGGTTTTAGTTGACTGATAGGAGGTATACAGAAATCCGCAACAAAAGAGTTCTGATGAAGAACTCTGTATAACTCAAAAACTTGATTGCTACTGGATTAACAGCACTTCATTTGTCTCATAAAAACAATCACCTTCACCTGTTGTGCATCTGTGGGATATCAGCTTGTCAGACAGCCTGTTAATTTCATTTCAGCTTTGTTAATGTCACTCCCCATGGCAATTTCACTGAAACCACCTTTGTCCTTGAAGACTCTTCTGTCATGCTTCCACTTAATTTATTACAGGCAGCAAATGAAATTGGTATGTTCTGGAAGTAGCTTTGGTTAGAAGAGTGCCTTTCAAAGAGATGGTGCTTGATCAATGAAATATAGTGTTGTTGTTGTTGTTGTTGTTGTTTTCCACCACCATTTGGGGATCCCTTTGCCCCACCAGATAGTTTTGTGTTTCCTTTTACTCTGTGCTCTCTGGAACAAGACCGGGAGGCACCCTTCTCCATTGGGGATTGGGTCCCTTTCAGGTGTTTTTTTAGAGCCAAGAGAGTATATTATTGCACTCACAGCACACTTGATAGTCCGGAAGGAGAGCAGGTGTTCGGTCCTGTAGCCACTGTTCCCACTCCAGGCCTCCCACCGAGGGTAGTCTCCTTTCTCCAAGATGAATTGCTGTCCTTGGTATTCAGGGTACTCAAACCCCACCCAGCTGTAAAGATGAGAAGAGAAAGAACGCAAATGATGGTAGCTTCAAATTTAAAACTCACAATAAAATTTAAAAATCAAAATCAAATATTGCTCAAACCATCCAATAACTTCCTGTGAAACATTATGGGGTGAAAGACTGGCAGAAGCCCCCAATGGAGTTCTCTCTCTCTCTCTTTCTCTTTCTCTTTCTCTCTCTCTCCTCTTCTACCCATCAGCCATCTATATCTGTGGATTCTCCAAGCATGCTGCTCTTTTCAAGCCAGCTTTGCAAATATTGCTCAATGGACACCGAAGCACTTACGGGCCACTTTCCACCTTGATGGAGCGGATCTTGCGGAAGCCCCGTTCCATGATGCTGGGACACTCCATCAGAAACTCACAGCGCTTCCCCTGGAAGTTTTCTTCCTCCCAGACGGTTATCTTGAATTGACCCAGGGTCTCCATGTGCTGGCTGGTCATGGGCAGCTCTTCTGCTATAGAAATGCAATGTTTGTGGGTTTTAAATGCTTGTTTCTGGTGGTGATGGCAGCAGCAGGGTGGGGTCAGCCCTGTCCCCCTGCACCACCCACAGAAAATCCAAAGTACACCCTGTTAGCAGCTATCATGGAGTAGCATCAGCAAGCACCATGCCATACAGTTAAATGAATGGGTCATGGAGAAGAGACAGACAGTAGCATCTGAAATGCTAGAAAAAGTAAGCAGACTCTGAGGAGGATTATCTGGCTAAGTGATGAATTGTACAGGCCAAGAGAGTCCATGATGCTCCTTTTCATCTATTCCTCCCCAATTTGTCATCTCATTTTACTAGCACCTATCCCTGGTTAGTTTGTACAATGGAGCACCCCCCTGTCCTTGCTGACCAGAGGCTGGATTCATGCAGATGGTGGAGTGAGTCAGTGGAAAATGGGTGCCTACACACCCGGCTCTACCATTAGACAGGGCGATGCAGCTCACCCCAGGGAGCAGGTTTGAAGGTCCTATTAAAGGGACCTTATTTCATTTTATATTATAGTCCTTTAAAAGAGGCCCTGTGGATACAGAGTACACATGTTCCACGGGGCCTCTTTTCAAAGACTCACTCTGTACTTTCTGACTCGGGAGCCAAATATATTGGGTCTTTTCTTTTTTCTTAAACGGAGCCAAATCTCATACCTTCCTTTAACCTATAGTTCAGTCAACATCTGCAAGTTCTCATAGGACTGTCAGTTCCCATGATCCAGCTGTATTCCTGTCTGTTTATGAGGTATGTTGTCTGGAGCTGAAGGGAAATCCAGAATCCAAGTGACAAGCCTCCTCCCCTCAATGGAAGAAAAGTTTTTGGAAAGCTTCCTTTACATTTTCATTACACACAGCCTGGTGCCAGAATTGTGCCACTAGATTTCTGCTGGCCCCTTCCATCTTACCTTATAGTGCACACTTACTTATACGCACACCCTTCAGTGCTGGGTTTGACTTTCCTGCCAATGCATTCTAATTGTTACTTTTAAAAGAACAAAAGAAAAAAGGACAGCCCTGTTGCAGTTGTGGGTCATACAGAATTCTAGAGGTAGATGGGTCTGAAATGCCATTCAACATAGCCCTCTATCTAAAGGCAGGACCAGTCATTCAACAACAACACCCATCAACTAATACAATCCAGACCACAGCTTGCTGCCAGCAAAGAGCAGGTGCATCAGGAAAGGTGCCGATAGAACAAACATCTCCAAGTAACTCATGAAAGCAAGCGAAACCAGTACAGAACCATACCCTGGAGGAATGTGCCGAATCTTTCCTGCCCAATTCATCCCCTTTGTCGGTTGACCCAGAAATTATGAGTTGAAGTCCTTGCAGAGAAATCTTTCCCCAGTGATTCTCCAAGGGAAGGAAAGTATATAGGGAAGGGGGAGACACTCAGTTCCATTCACATTTAAATTCACATTTTCCAAAGCAGTTATCCTTCAATTTTGTACTTCTCCCAATTTTGCAATGCAATTCTCAAAGCAGTGTTTACAAAAATGCATGTATTTGGGGAAAGTGTGCATAGAAACGAATATGTTATGGGAAGATAACATAAAAATGCATTATATTAGGGGGAATTGCTAGCAAAAATGTGTACATTACTTAAAACTGCATCCAAAAGTATGTTTATTAGGAGAAATATGCGCTAAATCCAAATGAATTTTTATGAGAATTTAGGGAAATAAAGTACAAGATTGCTCCAGAAATATGGGGAATCAAATTTAAGACAGGAGAAACCGAGAGAACCAAAACTGATAGGTCCTTCCATCCCTACCAGGATACCACACATAAGGACACAGGGGGTGGGCCACTGGGGCTGTTTGGGGAGGGCAGGGGGCTGGTACTTACTTGGCTGGCAGTGCACGGAGGCAAGAGTGGTGGTGCTGGGCTGGGGGACCCCAGCAGCATTATATAGCCTGGCTTGGCCAAGTGTCCAATGACTGAGCACCAATAGGTTGTGCTGAGTCAGCAGTGGCAGCTGTGGGAGGTGAAGCAGCCCAGCCCCAGCCCGGGCTGTCCATTCCTCTTACCCATCATGGCGAGATGCCTCTCCTCTCTCCTGAGGCTAACAATGGGAAGCACTGGGCATGTTTGCTTAGCAGCGGAGGGACACAAAAGACAAAGGCCCTGACGTGCCATTTTTCTTTCACCCGCCAAACAATGCCTCTGCTCAGCCGGAGGATTAAGAACACGGCCCTTTCCCAGGACATTGCACAGGAAAGGCTGACAGCCATTACACAGGACAGAGAAGCTACCCCTGGCGCCATCAGGGATGGCACTCTAGAGAAATGCCTCCCTCTGCCCCAAGTGCCTCATACTTTCCTGTCCCTGGCATCGTGCCCCTCAGAGTGTGAAACCTTACTGAGCCTACACATCTGGGGTGATTCAAAAGCCCTCAAGTTAGCTCCAGGTTTTGTGACTCAGATTCCCCCTCTTGACTGTAGTTTCCTTCTCAGAGCTACAATGGGCAGCACCCTGAACAAACTACAGTTCCCAAGTTCCTTTGGGGGGGGATCATGTGTTTTAAATGTGTGTTGGATATGCTGTAAATGTATGGTGTGGGCCTGCCACACCAAAGCAATAAGAATGCACATTTCTGCTTTGGCACCCTTTACATTTTACCCTGATTGCTATACCACAAGGGTGAGGAACCTGCGGTCTTCCAGGTGTTGGTGGATTACAGTTCACATCCTCTCTGACCATTGGGTGTGCCGGCTGTGGCTGATGGGAGCTGCAATCCAACAGCTGGTGGGTTACAGGTCCCCCCAGCCCCTGTTGTACCTAGATGGGGTAACAGCTGTAGGGAATGTCTACTCCAAAGAAGTAGATAATAAGCAAGAATCCACATCTAAAGTAACCTGGCGGCATATGTCAACAACTAATAGGTAAATGCCACAAAAGCATGTTATTTCCCTTTAAGAATTCTGGGAACTGTAGCGCACAGTTACAATTTTCAATCACCCTTAGCAAACTACAGTTCCCAGAATTCTTTGAGGAAAAGATTGTGCTTTAAAAGTATAGTATACATGGAGCCATAATGTGTGCACAGCCTTGTGGGGTTGCGTTCCAGCCACAGTGATGATACAGTACTTGCCTTGCACAACAATGAAGGGCTGTCCATTTGTATTTCAGAGTAACCTCTGTGGGAGCCACACCTGCTTCAGTGGCCTCCCAGCCCATTCTATTCTTGTAGAAATCCTTCCACGAAAATCCAGCACTCTGTTGTGGTTGTTGAGAATCCCACCCTGGCCCACAAGGGGGTGCAGAAGGGCAGGGATTGTTCAGGGAACTGCAAAAGAGAAAGACAATGGATAACAACTCACTAACTGAAATGAATCAAAACTATTTCCCATTTGCTTTTCCCTCCTGATGTTCTATACCAGGCTTCCACAACCTCGGCCCTCCAGATGTTTTGAGACTACAATTCCCATCATCCCTGACCACTGCTCCTGCTAGCTAGGGATCATGGGAGTTGTAGGCCAAAAACATCTGGAGGGCCAAGGTTGAGGAAGCCTGTTCTATACATTATTACAGTTCTGTATTGGTAGGTTTAGATCAGGGGTCAGCAAACTTTTTCTGCAGGGGGCCAGTCCACTGTCCCTCAGACCTTGTGGGGGGGCCGGACTATATTTTTTTGGGGGGGGATGAACAAATTCCGCGGGCCAGATTTAGAAGGTGATAGGGCAGGATCTGGCCCCCAGGCCTTAGTTTGCCTACCCATGGTTTAGATGTATTATTGATCTGTTTTTCACCCTTCCAACTCCCCTCTCCTTCTCTCAGGTCTTCTGAAGATTGTGACTCTGTGGGTTCTATTGTTCTATATTTGTACAGAGCTTTGTGCATATTAGGTGCTTTCATAAATGACTAGTTATGATGTGTGTGTAGTTTGATGGGGTCATAGAGAAGCTGTGATCTTGGGCTCACAGTTATCACGCTAGCCAGTATTTTCCCCCTTCGGTTACATTTTGGCTTTTAACCGGCTAATTAACTGATTCCTCTTAAATATTCTTACATATTAAATTAGGCACTTCACATTTATAAAGATGAGTGGGGTGCATATGTAAAATAAATACATGGCAAACCTCAGTGAAGTTGCTTCTCTGAGGAAGCTGAAGGCAACTTAGTACCTCTTAGATGTGTAAGGTGACCCATGTGACTTCAGCATTTCTGAGATCCAGGCAAATGAGGCAGATGAGGCAACCGCCTCACCTGGAAGGATCCATATGGACTGCAAATCTGGCCTCCAAGGAATGCTTCACTCACCAGTACGGCAACGGTGCCAGCGGCAGCTGCAACATGCTCCTTGGAAGACAGATATGCAACCTCCTTGGCAGCCCCTCCCCCATGCTGCCTACACAGCAGATCTCTCTTGAACCATCTCCAACTCCGTTATGATCATTGTTAATCTTTATTTCCCCTTTTTTTCCTGATGTAGATCTTCACTCCCCTCTTTTTTGTGGCAGGGTTTGTGTGCCATTATGCGTTCGTCTCCTCCAAAATATGGGTTGGACTAGCTGACCCTTGGGACCTTTTCCAAATCTACAATTCTATGGCTCTATGTATTTTGTGTTTTTATCTTGTATTTTTATGCTGTGAACCGTCCTGAGATCTTCAGATGAAGGGCAGTATTCCGATTATACCCGTGTTTGCATACTTGTGTATAATCAGAACACTCACTGAAAGCCCGTAAACACCTCATTCCAACCCTGCCCCATTCTGCCTCCTTTTGTGACGTTTTTGTGATGTTTTCAGGTCGCTTCCAGGTTTGGCACAGTGCATGCGTTTGCAGTCGCACACATATGAGATGAGCCTAAAACGGTCGCTGGCTGTATACAAATTTAATAAATAAATAGTTACAAATGTCAGATTGAAGCCATGCATTCTGAGGTGATGTGTTTTGTGGCCCCACCATTTTTATACTTTCATAGTCATTCTATAATTTACTTTGACCCCTAAGTTGTTTATGGATCATCAATGTGTTAGGAATGGCTTGGGTGAGTTGAACCTCCTCCACGCTAGGAAGATGAAGGATTAGACGAGAAGACCACAACTGCCTCCATAAGGAAAGTGGGGATGAGTCTCAACAGTTGTCCTGTTTAACTTTGCATCAAGGGAAAAGAGAAGGCAGCAATATGCCCCCCCCCCGGCATCCAAAGGTGATTCAACTCCTTAATGCTTTGGAACAATTGCATCTCATGCCCTTCTGCCAGCTGTTCTATCCTCAACAACTGGTGCTGTCTCTAGGGGTTCCTAACTAATCTGCTAGCCATACTACAAGCAAGAGAAGAAGGGGGGTATTTTGTTTCCTGTGTTGAAGTTGCTGCCTCCTATTGTTAGCTCAAGGCCTTCTTCTTCTGCTGCGTAAGTTAATTTGATCTGTCAGGTCCATTCTATGCAGCACTAAAACAGATCATGTCTTTTGTTGTACCCAGCAGGTATGGTCAGTAAATATCTCTTCCTTGCAAGGTTTTCAGGATAATTTGGACCTCAATATTGATTGGCTGGTCTACTTGCAAGTGGTTTCCCTATTTCTTCCCTCCATGTCCTTTACTGGCTTGGGATGCCCAAATGCCACAGGAAGCAATGGTTTAATTACTCCAAATGGCCCCACCCCACCCCAGTGACCGGCCTTGAAACTTCCAAAGCAAAAGTGTATCTATTCTGTAGAGTTCAGTTGTCATTTCCTGAGTCCTTCGCACCCAGGCCAAGGCCAAGTAGCTTGCCATGTAAGGATAAGAAAAATTGCACCTCCCGAAACAAGTTATTCTATGCTTCTGTTGAAAGAACAACGTTGCATCCAGTTACCCTACTGGTATTGGTGGAAAGAATGTCTGTGGTTTGTATCTAGAAAGCTTGGCTGATCTAGTTGGTGAATTAAATGTGAGCAATCATTTCAGTTAATACACCTCTAGAGTACCTACAAAGAACTTGGCATCATTATCTTTGATTCGTTTGTTATAACAGACCAGAGTATAATTAGTTTGTTGAGCTACGGTAAATCGCTGAGTAACCAAACCTTCTATTTGACTTCATTAAAAGTGACTGAACCAATGAAATCACTTACTTTCACATCATGGGACCAACCCCCAAACCAGCCACACAATTACATCCACAAATTAGGTAAATGTTGAATAAGGAACCAAGGCAATAATAAATCCTACCACTTGTTAAGTGTATGATTGAGTAAATAGTGTCAAGCCGAGTCTGCTGGTTCTTCTGCAGATTTCCAAAGCGTGGGGCACCACATCACCTTCCCTTATTTTCAGCCCCTCTAGGTGGAATAATAGGAAGGCAGGTGAGCAATTGCATAGATTTAACAGACTGCAGCAGATCCCTCAGTGTGGATTCCTGGTCCCCACACGTGTGTGACTGTCCAGTACTAGGGAGACAGTTTTGCTGCAGCCACATTTTCCCCCTCCCTCCCTGGAGCAGATGGAAGCAGCACCAACCCCTGTTTATCTTGCCACCCGTTGCCTGGTGCACTGTTTGCTCCGAGGACCATTTCCTGCTGCAGGTACAGATACAGCTGGGTTTATTTACCAGGTCTGGCTGATTAGATCAGGAATAGCTCCCACTGCCTCTCTTCTCCCTCTTCCCCCAACTCACGCTTCTCTCCCTGCTTCTGCCATCTGATTTCACTAACAAATCATCCTGCCGCCTTAGGAAGGAAATGCAAATAGGGCAGGCAGCCTGTCATTTACCCTAATACAGCCAGGTGCTAAGGTGGCAGGAAAAGCATCTCCTTCAGTAAGAGCTAAGAGATGTCCAGGCCACTGAATCCATTCCAAATACAAGTACACCACCTGTTATTTATCACTTTGGGTACTGTGGACCAACAGGCAGTACTGGCAGCATTCTGGACAGGGCACTCTGTTTTTTCTGACACTCCTTCACTCCAGCACAAATGTTCTTGAACCTTAAGCTTAGGAATGACCAGTCGCCTCTTTCTCATGCACTCACTTGCAAGTTTCTGATCACTCATTGCTTCATCATCCTCACGGGTTGCCTGATCTGAAAATCCCAAGAGGGCAGCGAGCTCCGGGACCTCTTGTGGAGAGTCCCCATCTTCAGTCTGTTACCTCTATAATGCCCCTTTGGACCTCACTACTCCCTTTAGATTTCCAGATCTAGGCAGGTCTTTGCATCTTTAGGAGCTTTTCCATCATATTGCAGCTATTAAAGGGACATAAGCCACACCATACAAAGGGACAACCTTACATCTAGTTTCCAAAATACCTCTGCCTATCCACACCTTTCCTGCCGTCATCTCACAAGCTTTTCCATCCTGAACCCCTTAATGTTAGATGTTCTTCCAAGATGCGAACCATATAACCCTTCAAGTCATAACACTAACTTTGGCTGTATAAAGGGTGGCGAGGAAATCCAATGTGAAAAATAAATAAATAAAAGGGCACTATCACAGCAACATATGGACATGTGTGCAACACCAGTATTTGGAAGGAACATGATGTTAAGGGAGGGCCAGATTTCTTGGGAAGACCTTGCTTCTCAGCTTTCTGGTCGGCTTCAGTCTGCTTCACACCCAGTTCTCCTTGTACCCAGCCAAACTGATACCCTCTTCCCTCCCTGGAGTGAAGATACTGTTTAGCTGATTGGTTTGTTCCTTGAGTTGATGGAATGTTCATGACCAGCATCATCTGGTCAGGTTACCTTGGATCAAGTTCAATTCTTGCAGTCTGAGAATGCAGACAAGCTGCTTGAAGGAGGTTGACTAAGTGTCCTTTTAACCCTTGCCCATCATGGCTTACAAAAGGCAGATAAAAGGGTGTTGCTGGGTGAGTCCACTGAGTTATGAATGCCTTGTCGCATGAGGGAGAAGGTGCCACTGGTCCATAAGGAGGCAATGGTCCATCCCCTTCCCAAGAGGGATTCCCTGGATACAGAGGTACTGAACAACTATTGTCCAGTTTCCAATAAGAAGTTGCATGATAGTGCATGAAAACTGCCTTTGTCACTCTGTTCAGTCAATTGCTGCAAGAGATTTTACTTCCAAATTTTGTAGGTGCGTTACAGTATAAAGAATAAAAATATGTGTGTAGTGCTTTTCTAGAAAGCCCAAAGCACACATACAGTACATCATTAATGATGCCCCTGTAAGGTAGGCCAATATGATTAGCCACATATTATATAGCTTGAGGAGGATAGTAGTTCACTGAAGGCACCCACTGAGTTCTTGACTGAGCTGAGCTGTTTGCTCTGAGGGGCATCCAGTTCAAAGCTCATGCTCTTACCCACTCCCCAGACGTCTTTAGGAGAAGGATCTTTTGAGAGGAAGGCTCTGAAGGGACCTCTGAAAGGAAGAGCATCAGCTTAATGTTTCTCTGTATTTGGACACTGGGGAGACACACACACACACACACACACACACACCCTTGCCCTTGGTACACAGTGTGAAAGGAAACAGACCTGCTGATATCCTGAGCACAGCTTCTCCCGCCCCCGCCCTGAACATCAAGTTACCTGTCTGGCCTCTGATTGCTATGGGGACTAATCCACCTGAAAGGCCACAAAAGACCAGCCAGCTGTTACCACACAGATGATAATGTCTCAATGCCTGGCTCCCGGGACTGAATAAGGGTCTCTAATTGATGCCACTTCCATAGCGGAAGCCTCCTAGCTCCATAGAACTGTATAGCATAGATAGACCCTAAACATATGAACTCACAGCAGTGACACTCTATGAACTGCTTTGTTTAAATAAATAAAAAGTGTGCCACCTCTCTCAAACTTGAGGCAGTTAACAACAGTGATAAAAAGTGAGATGGAATTTCACAGCTAAAACAAAAACAAGGACTTGGGGGGAGGGGGAATTAGAATGCCTATATCTAAAAATTACCCCAAAAATATGTGCATTGCATTTCTCTCCCCCCCCCCCCCGCATGTCAAGAGAGAGGGAGGGACACAACTGGATTTCTTCCTGTAAACTTGACCAGTATGTTGGAGCAACCACTGTGAAAGTCCTGCTTCCTTCCTCAGTATCGAAACTCCTCAGCAGGCACCAATGGAGGCTAAGGCTCTGAAAAAAATCAATATGGAGACAAATTGGCCAAAATACTGTGAAATTTTAGAACAAGATGGAGATAGATTAAAGCTGCAGAGCTTTGACAAATTAAAAACTAAAGTTCGAGACTGGCTTCATTATTATCAAATAAGGGAGGCTTATAATTTAGATAAGAAGATTGGCTTCCAGGAGGAAAAATCAAAATTGGAAACAGAATTGTTAGATCCTAAAACTAAGAATCTATCAAGAATGTATAACTTGCTGTTGAAATGTAATACACAAGATGAAACGGTTAAATCTGTTATGATTAAATGGGCACAAGACTTTGGACATAACATTATGTTTGCTGACTGGGAACAGTTATGGACCACAGGTATGAAGTTTACGGCTTGTAATGCCTTAAGAGAAAATATAATGAAAATGATTTACAGGTGGTACTTAACCCCAGTCAAGCTAGCAAAAATCTATCATTTGCCAGATAGTAAATGTTGGAAATGTAAAGAGAATGAGGGTACATTCTTTCACCTTTGGTGGACATGCCCAAGGATTAAGGCTTTCTGGGAAATGATATATAATGAATTGAAAAAGGTATTTAAATATACCTTCCTGAAGAAACCAGAGGCCTTTCTTCTGGGCATGGTCGGCCAATTGGTGCAAAGGGAGGATAGAACTTTTTTTATGTATGCTACAACAGCAGCAAGAATACTCATCTTTCTTTCTTTCTTTCTTTCTTTCTTTCTTTCTTTCTTTCTCTCCCCCTTTTTCAGCCCTCTCAGTGATCTGTCCAGGGAGGGACAGATTGCTCTTGCTAGAGGTCTGATCACTTGCAGAGCTTTCCCCCACTTCCTCCTTCAGCTTATCCCCCTCCCCCCCCCCATCTCCACTCTCCCTGAAGGCAACAGCTATGGGTGGCTTTGGGGTCCAGGTTCTGCACCCTGTCCTAAAATACTGGTGGATCTAGAGGGTGCAGGCTGGAATTTGTGTGTTGTTTGGATGTGGACATCGGAGGTAGCATTTGGCTATAGATTTGCTAAATGTGTGTGTTAATGCATGTACAAAGGGTAGCCAGATGTAAAGATGGGTAAGACTCCTGTATCTTGAAATTGCTGTATATAAGAGGGGGTGCTCACAGGTACAGATTGTCACTTAGGAATGAAAATACAACACTTTGAAAAAAAGCAGCCCCAACTGTTGAAAGAATCAGTATTACATTACTCAGATGTAATAAAGGACCAGGCTTCCATATTTCTTCATAATTTTGTATAATCATAATTGCTATCCTGCCTGTTCTAGTGCTTAAAGTGGCTTGCCACAATAAACACAATAGAACCTTACTATTAAAACAATCTCACGTAAAAAGAAAGGCTCCAGAACAGAATCATTTAAGGTCGTCAGCAGCAGCAGATCATGTCAACAGTACTTTCAACTGAAAGTCTTAACAAAGTGGTTTTGTATTTTATCCTTAAGGCAAGGAGGGAGTCAAATAGGGAAGTTTAGCTAGTGCAGTTGTTCCCCTCACTCATGCAGCACTGAGAAAACAACCATATACTGAAATGTCTTCTACACAACTATTAAAAATGATGGGGGCCTTGGATAACGTTTCTGCCAAAGCCTTACGGTTACCAGCTTTCTGAACCTTTAACAACAGTATGTTCTGCAGATACCATGGACTGCAAGAAGATCAAACCTATCCATTCTGAAGGAAATCAGCCCTGAGTGCTCACTGGAAGGACAGATCCTGAAGCTGAGGCTCCAGTACTTTGGCCACCTCATGAGAAGAGAAGACTCCCTGGAAAAGACCCTGATGCTGGGAAAGACTGAGGGCACAAGGAGAAGGGGACGACAGGGGACGAGATGGTTGGACAGTGTTCTTGAAGCTACTAACATGAGTTTGACCAAACTGTGGGAAGCAGTGGAAGACAGGAGTGCCTGGCATGCTCTGGTCCATGGGGTCACGAAGAGTCGGACATGACTAAACGACTAAACAACAACAACAACATGATCTGCACAATTAGCTATCTCGTTGCTCCGGAAAGTTGAAGTCAATTTGAAGTCCATGTAGTTGCTGAGGGATTCCCTCCCTTTCTGGCCAGTTATTGGCGACCCTATGCGAAACTCGAAATAATTGTATAGAAAAGGGAACTTCACTATTCAAAGTACAGGAACCCAGTCCTCTTTGTTTCAGCTGGGCACCCTTGTTGAAGCCTTGTCCTCTATTATTTCCTGATAATATATTACCTTGTAGTCAGTAAAGGATGGTTTTCAAAGGGGGCTTGGGTTGGGAAAATGTGGTGTTGGTGTTGTGAAATTGATGGAAACGGAATAATAATAAACACCCTAATTTGTGTTGGTAGCAGAATATCTACAGCTTAGGGAGTGGACGATTTCCATCTTCAGTGGTCAGCCTTGCTGGTGGGAAGAATCGGGGCAACAGACTATTTAGCAGAGCAGATAGGGAAATTTCTCGTCACATGGGGACCTAAGCCTCTAGTGCTACCTGGCTCAGTTGCTAGGTAGCACACTTCCAGGGGAGGGGCCTTTTCCCCTATGGTGATCATGGTAACACATGGAACCTCGAAAGAGCAGCAGTTTTTGTTATTTTCCTCTATGGTTACCACAGAACCTTCAAAGATTAGAAGTTGGGAACAACCACTAATCAACAACCATTAGTAGCAGCAGTAATTAATAAGGGTTGAGGTATGGACATTTCCCACTCCCATCCCTCCAGAGCTTTCACACTCACCATTGCCTTAAAAAAAAAAAATCTTATCATGCTTCCTGGCAGCTGCCTTGGAGATTGTTGTGAGGAAGAAAGGTAGTGTAGACAGGGCTGTGACACCATCACCTCTCTCTCAAATATACAAACCTATAAACTATGGCAAATATAATCTCCCCAGATATTTTTCTGTTATGATGCATTCATCTTTCCTTGGCTCAGCAGTCGGGGTCACTGGGTGTGGCAGAGAAGGAAGGATGTTGGTCTGACATGATCATCAATGATCAGCAATTCCTTCTCTGCCCTTCTTGATCCTCTTTCAAGCCCAGTAGCCTCTATCTCTATAGTGGTTCTTTCACTGGACCACTGGCCTCGACTGTTCCCATTGTACCTCTTTTCCTGGCCTGCTGGACTCCTTGACCCTCATTCTAGCCAATGGCCTCTGACACACTACCCAAAGAGAAGCTCTTCCTGCTGCACTAGCCTCTTGGCTGTCCATAGCATCACTTTTCCAGGCCCACTGGCCTGATTCACTGCCTCCATTTCTGGTCCTTTGTTCTCTTTGCCTGCCATGGGGCAGGACTCTCTTCCTAGCCCACTGTCCTCAACTGTCTGCAGAGGGATCCTCCTCCTGGCTTGCTGGCCTCCTTGATTATCCTCTTAGTGTCTTCTTTCTGGATCCTGGCTTCCTCTATTGTCCTCAAACCATCTCTTTTCTTCCTTGACCGTCCCCTCTTCTGCCCGCAAGACAGTGTCTTTCGCTGGCCCACTGGCCTTTTGACTCCTTCCCAGAGGCACCCTTTTTCTAACTTCTTTTCAATCCTGCGCTAGTATCTGTGATTTATGTCAGTCTCGCAGATCTGTCTCAGTCCACTAAGTCCCATCTAATTCCCCAGCAATACGGAATAAATTTGTGACTTCACTCCTTGGCACTTATAACTTACTGTTTTCACCATTTCTTTGTACCATATATGCGATCTGCAAGTTTGAGGTTTAATTATAGAGTCATTCAAGATAAGCTGCAGTTGTAGGGTTTGCAACCATGCTAATTCTAGACTGTTTATAATCTTTTGGCTTTTTCCATATATATTGAGTACAAACTCTGAGTTTATCTACATTATAGACGTAAGCTCACTTAACAGCCATTTGGTCTTCTAAACAATATATCTGTCATTTTCAATTAAGCCTAGGAGTAACAAGGCAACTATTGGATAGGATTGAGGTTCTCATAGGGTCGCCAATAACTGGCCAGAAAAGGGGGGGGGGGAATCCATCAGCAACTGCTTAGACTTCGAATTGACTTCAACTTTCCAGAGCATGGAGATAGCTGATTCTGCAGATTATACTGTTGTTAAAGGCTCAGAAAGCTGGTAACCCTATGGCTTTGGCAGAAACGTTATCCAAGACTTTGTGTTCTTAATAACTTCGTCTGGCAGAAATCAACAGGTAAACACTTCCCAGCAAGGAACCATGAAAGCAGAAAACGTTTTGCTTGCAGTTTCTGCTTCTCCAACAGCTCTTAAGGGTGCACAGTGCTTCTGCCACTAAAATATATAAAAAGGCAATCCTAAAGTGTGGAAAATAGACATGGCTTCAGGGAGAGAATCTGAGGGATATTCTGCAGTGCTGAACAATCACCATTGATAGCATCAGCAATAAAACTTGCCTCTGATAGCTCATGAATGAAACCCTAGCGGGTGGATCTGTCCCTCCTGTACTTGGTGACGATTGTGGTACAGTGAGAACAGAACATCCTATTGCCCGAGGGTGCCCAGACAGACAGCTGGGTGGGAACAACAACCCTGCCTGATAGAGGGGCTGAATATTTCATCCTCATTCAGCCACCTTGTGAGCTCATGCTGACAGGTGAGATTTAAACCAGCAACATTTCAGCTTGTAATGTTCTTAGCTCCTATGCCACATGGTTCAATGGGAGCTTTTTCCCCCCTATGCAAATTGCAGACTTGCACACTTCAGATCAGGATCATAGCATGGAGCAAAGGATTAAAGTTCCCCTCACTTGCACTGAAAACTGGCCTGGCCTTCTGCATTGCCTATTTGTGTAAAAATAAAAACAACCTAAGCTAAAAGGCACAGCTCTAACGTTATGCTCTAGTTTAGCCCCTACAGTTGCTATGTGAATGTACCTTTTGGTTTCAAGCTTATAAAATTCCTAAACAACTGGCCCAGGGTTATAACTGATTTTTAAGCCTTGTAGCCCAATCCTATGCATGCTTACCTAGATAGTAAAGATAGTGCCCTTTAACGTTTTGTTAAAATTGGCTGCCAATTGGTTGACAACTTGCAGAGGCCAAACTAAAATAAGATGTTGGAGATCCGGGTCTGAATTACTCATCATTTCATATTTTTTTAAGCAGCTGCTGGGTCTGGGCCACTTCCAGCACTAACAAAGCAGGGTGTTAACCCATTCAGCTAATGTAAAATACCACCAGGTGATTTTCTGGTATTTTCCTTCACCAGAAAGGCAGCCCTTATTTAGGTTCAGGATGGAAGGGTAAATATTATTATCTAAATCTATGGTTCCCAACATGGGGCACACACCCCAAAGGGGGACAATTTGATTTTTAAGGGGAGCAATTTGAGAGTTATTAACAGTTAATGGCCTTTTAGGCTTCCTCCCCGTGAATAAGAGTTCATTTTTTTAATAATAAGAATTATATGTCACGGGGGGAGGGGGGGCAGTGTCAGGATTTTAGAGATGCTTAGGTGGCACATGGCCAAAAAAAGGTTGGGAATCACTGATCTAGATCCTTGGTCTCTCTCCTGCCACCCAACTCCTCAAAAATACATTAATATGAGACCAGTTGTCAAAGGTGGATTAAGTGGACTAGTCAACAAACAACATATTTAGTTTGGTTGACCCCCGACATGGTTCATTCCTGCAGCCACTCCTTGTCTCCCAAACTATTGTCTCATCTCTTGAGCCAGGACATTGTAGGTTGGAACCTAGGAGTCCTGGTTGCAGTCCTTGATTGGTTGGGGTTAAGGTGACCTGCTAGGAATTGAAAAGATATCAAACACTAAAGCTTCTTGCCCAGAGAGGTGACTGCCCAGAGAGGTACTGGAGTGGGTGGGACCGCTAGAGTGAATTTCATCACCCCTGCATGGCAAGCTACATCTGCTAAACAATTTGTGTGTGTGTGTCAAGAAGACCTGTTAAACACACAAGCCTTTTTTTCCTTTGTATCTTGCTGCCCTATGAAGGACTACCTGCAGCTACATTTGCATCCCTGCTTTCTGTTTGCTCAGGGATGCATCCACAAAACATGCTGCAGTTAACTCCTAACTACCACATCCTGGTGCCTTACCCTGACAAACGGGAACTTACCACTCCCCTCCCATTCCCTGTCTGGGCAGGCTTTTTACCCTGACCCAAGATACAGATCAAAAGTCTGAAAAACACAGGACAACTTGGGTCCAGCCCCTGCCAGCACTTCCTGTACTTTGAAAAGACGTAGAGGAGTTAGACTAGGTGGGCTTCTTTTTAAGGGCTGGGAAGGGCCGGCACTAGAGTCCCAGCTGTTGTGCAAGGATGACGTGTTGGCACCACCCCTGACTTCACTTCTGTTATATCCAGGTTAAAAAACAAAACCTTTCCTCATGAGGAGCTGTGGCAACTAAAACAAGGGACAGCATAAAGTGCAGAAATAAAAGAGCAACATATTTCTTTGGGACTTTGGCAGCCCTACCTAACCTCTCTCCATGTCCAACATTCCTTATGACTCGGTTGTTGCATAACAGGATCTCACTCTTATCTATCACACTTTCATTATTAAAAAGTCACTGGTGGGCAGGGGAATATCATGAAACAGTTAAAAAATAAATACTTTCAGAATGCTTTCAGGGATGAAATGCAAGGAAAAATCCTGAAGAATGATATTTGGGTCTTGGAATTACAGGCAGAAAAATTGATAAAGTTAACAGGATGGACTTTGGTTGAGATTTGTGAAATGACTTTAGTGCATAAGAAAACAAAAGGCAATGTAAGAATGCCAGTGAGTGCAGGTTGCATCTGAATATAGTTGTGTTTAAATAAAATCTATGTAAATGAAGTGTGGTGTAGTTTTCAGGGTGTCCTGGTTTTTACTTTTTGAAACATGGCAACCCTAAAATAAATGAAAGCTCGAAACACTTCCAATTGGCTAGGAGGGAGGCCTCCTAGAATGCATCTGATAGATTGAGGAAAAAAGAACTGATCTGAAGGGAGCAGCCCTGATCTGTGCATATGGTTGCCACCATGTTAGGAACCAATATTCTATGCCCTTTGCAGTTACAGCGTAATAGAAATTTAACAAGTACAGCTGTCATCATAATTTCATTTCCATGCAAAAAATAAATAAATGAAAAAGGCTTGCCTGTTGGATGCCTACCTGCCAAATAGCAATTAAAAGAACAGTCTCCTTCCATAAAAAACAGATGGCATCCCATTTGTGAAGAAGCAGATTTGTGTTCTCTTAAGCAGTTAAAACCATACATGGTTCAAGTGAGAGAGAGAGCTTAAATGTGTTGATCTGTCTACAAGGTGGCCGCTTATATATCACCAAAAAAGAGGACACAGATTTGCATAGGTAGGAAAAATATTGCCATAAATAAATAAACTTGTCAAGACAGTTTTAAACCGGTGGGGTTAAACCGATAGCAGTGCTGTTTGAGATTATAGTCCTTACCAGGGAGTAAGCCCCATTGAACTCAGTGGGACTACCTTCTAAGGAGACACTCTTTGTATGATGCCTAGGGGACCTGGCTCTCAATTATCAGTTTG